GAATCACAGTTTGCGCTGATAATATTTCTGGGGTTTTCAGCACTGTACCACAGTAGGTTTCACCAAGGTGGTAGATGTTTGAAACCTGCAACAATTCTGGCTTTTCTTCCTCATTAATCGCCCACACAACTTGAATATTGTTAGGAGCAGCCATTAAACCCAATTCACTGACTATAAAAATCAGAAACCACATTCTCTCATTAAAATGCTTTATGGATATAATCATTTATCATTGTTTTTGTCAAATGGATTGGGCAAATGAGTTCAAGGTCAATGCTATTTGAATATTATTCTTCATGGATATTGCCATCATATTTAAATGTTAAATGGCATTATATTTTTGAAACATCAGTGTGTTTACATTTGTTATAATAGGGTAATAATAGATTACAGGGAGTGTAATGTTTTCAGCTGACATATGAAATATGTGTTCTGATGGCAGATTACTATCTTACTAAGTCCTAACTCATGAGTACGAATGCTTTGTTAAATCAAGGATATGATCTGCCATAACAACACAGTTATCAAAGTGGGATGGTTACCATGGTAACCTGGTGGGTAATCAGGGCAATATAGATAAATAGAAGCTTGTAGCACTTTCATGATGTAAAATGGTGCATTTCAAGCTGTTGTAACTGTAAAAATATAATTTTTTTATGCTTCAATGAAAAACATTCTGGCTTGTGATTTGTCCATTTTCTGTCAAACTCACAATAAGATACTGAATAAATATTACAGATATAATTATGGATGTTAAAATCAGTTTTATTTCATCATATTATTTTTGTTCTTCATTTTGAACCTGGAGTCCTTGTTATGATTATTGTTTCATTTGAGGACATTGGTGGACAAGGCATCAATGGCACCATATTACCATGTGCAGACTTGTGTCCCTTGGGCATGCCAGAATCCTGTGATTGTGGGTTTGAATTGTCTGCCCCTGATTGTGTGTATAAGTCTGTTGGTGAAATACCTGTCAGGGTTTGAAATACCCCATATATTAGCGTGCCATGGCACGGTAAATATCGAAATGGCACGGATAAAAAATGTTCTCGGTGCCCTTATGGCACGCCTAAGACATAACACACCTTTAGTCACTTAATAACCAAACAAAACACTTATGCAAATGACAACCAAGTAAAAACATTTATTGACTTTATCGCCCAGGAAATCACTGGAATTATGATGGTTCATGTAAAGAAATCTGGTTGTTTTGTCATTTAGAGTGTTGGGAGTACTGATAGTTCAGTTATTGAAGAGGAAATTGTGTATGTTAGATATATTGAAAAAAGTGAACCTCTCACACAATTCTTAGCTATTAAAGGTGCTGGAAAAGCAGAACAAATGAAACATAAGAAAGCCATCTTAAACAGAAGACATATCAGTAATAACAAAAAACTGGTTACATTTGTTGTTTTCTGACAATAAATTTCAAAAGATCATCATCTTTGCTACAGTCATTTATTTTAAACACGTGTGCACACTTGATTTCTGAAAGGCACACCTAAAATATTTACCTGGTGCCCTAAGGCACACTTAGAAAAAAAAGTACTGTCAAATCCCGATGAGTCGAATCTCTGTGGACCAAGTAATAAATTCGACTTATCGATGTATTCGAGACATAGGTATGTCTATGAGGGTAGAAAAAAATATGATCCAGTCCTAATTCCTCCGCCTAAGCATGTGTTTATCTAATGATTTCCCTATCACTAATAGGGGCACCTTATCAGTTCAATCTGATTAGCACAGACAGTGATTTCCGTAAAATCACTAATCTGCCTTTTGAACTCACCCGTCAAAGGCGGAAAGGTGTGAGCTGCGCTGGTTTGTTAATTGGATCAGTTTGCTACACCAATCAACTTCTCATTGACTGACTTCGGCTTATGTATACAAGATTGCTGTTGTTTGAATCTCATGGGACCAAATTTACTTCTCGAGTCATCGTGTGTTTATTTATGAGACGAATTCGTGTAACCGGAAATCAAATGATGACAACTATAACAGGGAATGGTCGGGACCGACAGGTACTTCGAGTTATGCATAATATTCGAGACACCGGCATTCGACTCATCGGGATTTGACTGTATTTCTATCCCTGCCTGTGTTTGTGTGATAGTGGTATATGACTGAAACCAGCATCGGAATTTCCTCTAACATCAAAATTCACTTACCTGCTGTTGCATTTCTGACCTGGGGTCATCTGTAACCCATGCTTGTCATAAGAGACGACTAACGGGATCGGGTGGCCAACCTTGCTGACTTGGTTGACACATGTCATTGTATCCCAATTGCGAAGATCGATGCCCATGCTGTTGATCACTTAATTGCCTGGTCCAGACTTGATTATTTTACAGACTACTGCCATATAGCTGGAATATTTCTGAGTGCAGTGTAAAACTAAGCTCACTCACGGTTGCCGACCGCCTCCGTGGTGTAGTGGTTAGAGCGTCCGCCCGGAGTGCGGAAGGTCGCGGGGTTCGAACCCCGACCGCGTCATACCAAATGACGTTAAAATATGGTACTTGTTGGTCCCTGCCTGGCGCTCGGCATTAATGTGTACAACAAGGACTGGTCGGCTCGGAGTCAGTATAATGTGTCTGAGAGGGGTATTCATGCTTCACTGCGGCATGGTATCTCTGTGGGCTAGCACTATAAAACCAGCTTGTGTCTGGGCTAGTACAAGCAGCCGCACATACACATACACACGCATGCACGTCATCATATGAGCGAAATATTCTCCAGCACGACGTTAAACCCAATTCCATCACCACCACTCACGGTTGCCTTTTTTGTGAAGTGAAATGATCATGTTATTTTGTGTCTTTTATGCTGGTTTGTTGATTTGAGAGAAAACATGGCAATTACACATACAAACAAATATTGGGGAACAGGCAACAAGTCATCTTATTGTACACCAGTTTTGGTCAATTACCATGGTAACAGGATAGCACTTTTTATTCCACAAATGGCATTTGCATTGCCATGTCAAGAGGCCAGGGGGGGTGGTGGGGTAGCCTAATGGTTAAAGCGTTGGCTCGTCAAGCCGAAGACTCGGGTTCGAATCCCCACATGGGCACAATGTTTGAAGCCCATTTCTGGTGTCCCCCGTTGTGATGTTGCTGGAATATTGCTAAAAGCGGCGTAAAACCAAAACTCAGTCAGTCAGTCAGAGGCCAGGGTGACAATGGCTTAAGGACATGAGATAAGGACACAAGGGGTTAAAGTGTTTGTTCTCTATGAGAAGAACCAGGTCCAGTTCCCCTAAGGGTACAATGTGTAAAGCCCATTTCTGAGGTCCCTGGATACCCGTTAAGGTCTGGGTTAGAATTGAACTTCAGTAACCCATGCTTGTCGCAAGAGGCGACTAACGGGATCGGGTAGTCAGGCTTGCTGACTTGGTTGACACATGTCATCGGTCCCAATTGCGCAGAACGATGATCACTGGATTGTCTGGTCCAGACTCGATTATTTATAGACCGCCGCCATATAGCTGGAATACTGCTGAGTGTGGCGTAAAACTAAACTCACTCACTCACTGTGGTCCCTGGCCATGGTTTTGATGGAATATTGTTAAAAGCTGTTTAAACCCATTCTCACTCACCCTATAGTCTGTCTCGGTCCCTGAACCACATTATTTTCCCTACTGCATAGCCCACCCTGCAATGCTAAGCCCTAAATAAAGCAAGAATTTCCAATCTTACTGGGGCTCCTTACTTGTTTATTGTGTGTACATTCCACAGTTAAGGAATAAATGCATAGATTTGTATAAAACACAATTGTCTTGTGAAGAAAACAGGAGTCATCTGATGAATGATTTATTTGACAGACTTCATAAATGTTGGTATTATCAAAACAAGCAATCATCACTGGGACAGGCAGATAAACTCAAGGAAATAAATTAACTGCTTAAATTTCTATAACAATGCATATATTTTAAAAAAAGTTTAAACAATTGTACTGTAATTTGGGAAGTGCTTGAGCTTGGTGTGTACATTGATAACATACATAATACTTTAAGATGCCCTGTGACCATGGTAACAAATGCTCTCAAAAAGTACTGGGTACCACTGTACGAAGTTAAGGTATCTGAGTTACAGTCACCTTAGTCTTAGTCACCTTAGTGCTAAGATCGCTATGTACAACAGCACCCTGATCACAAAATTCTGTCCCCTAATACTGCGCATTTTTACCAAAACGTTTGTTTACAACAAGTACAAACAATCAACAACTGACAAACATACTACTCAATAGAAAATGATTGGTTAATTGGAGTCACATAAAAAAGCTTGGTGTTCTTTCATTTTTTTGGTAGTATATGTCGATCTTCCTTTCACAGTAATGACAGATACTTTTCAGTTAAATTGTGTGACCAAACATTCATTAAAAATTTGTGATTTATTTTTTCATGGAATTGTTGAATATTATTATAATATTCAGATTTCAGAATATGTGAACAAAATTGGAAAGAATTCACCATACTAAAGTCGCAAGACAACAAGATTGACATTTTATAAAGGGCTCAAGGTTTTCTCATGGTATTTTTTACAAGGTCAAATTCCACATTCTATAACCAGTAGTGTTGGGAATTGGTTGAAATCTCACAATTGATGATTGCTTCATTACCAACGAACAATCATCGAAAAAAATTGGTTAGCGTCATTTTTCCTATCCAGGTTGTTATTGCAGAAAAGTATAATATGATGCAACTTGCTACTTTAAAGTGATGACTAATATATCATGAACATAAACTTCCTGGAGTCTTAGAGAAATATTCAGTCATGACTTTTCAGTTAGTGAAGTGACTTTTCTAAGAATTAAACATGTTTTCAGGACCTGACAACTTCTAAGATATGTTCCATCGTCAAGTATTTCAAACACTAAAACAGTAGTTCCAAAATTGTTTATGTTCGATTATGAGAAAATGTGATCGATTGCTTGGTCGTTGGGTCACTGCGACCAATCTTCGATTATTTCAATTAATCGGAACACCACTAATAACCAGTATCTTGGATAAAGACAGTATGCATGTCGAAAAATCAACCATGAAGCTACAGTGAATCTTAGGTTCACAATAAAATAACTTAATACCCTATTTACTTATGTATAGTGCACTCGTAAAAATGTGAGCACAACACTCGAGGAAGTATGGTAGGAACAGATACCTTAACAATAACAGACAACCAACATGTCAAACAGACAACAATCAGCACTAGTACTGTTACCCAGGATGTTGCAGGGATGGACTTCATTAATGTCGGATATCGTATAACATTCAGACATAATACACAATCAGTAAATTGAAAAATATGACTTCACACACCTATACCCTTGCAGAGATGCCAACCCTTACACTTTAGGCGTAATTATTACGATTTTGACCAGTAAATTACGCCATTACACTTAATGGGCGAACATTACACTTTTCTACTCGTTTTATGAAAATCAATAAAGTGGGTAAAATTTCACAGGGAAGTGTTTTGTAACGCACAGGTGCGGGGGTGCAGAAATGGCCTTGCATCGATAGGAATTGGTTACTCTTAGCAATGCACTCATTCCAAGGAACTTGCAAGGAATTAAAGTATTTTGAGTCACATGACCAACAATTTTCAATGTATGGAGCCTCATAATGATTGGTCACATGTGTTTCTGTCTAGAATCTTCCTTTCGTGAAAACGTTTACCATGTTGAAGCGATCGGCAAACAAATATTACACTTTTTAGGTCAAAATTACACTTTTTGACCTCTAGTATTACACTTAGGCCCAAAATAGGGTTGGCATCTCTGCCCTTACATGACAACATGGCTCAGATGAGATTTTATTTTAAAGCTCTGGACACAAGCAAATTAACACATTTTAGTAAAACGTAAAAACCTTATCTATGAGGTAATTATGATATGGTCAGTGCAGTGTGAAGAACAGTTTTGTGTGGCATGTTTTGATAAATATATCTATTAGATGTAAATATTTTACAAATAGACATGAATCTTATCTGATAGAAAATATGAATATTACTTTGTTTAATAAATATCTACAGAACTGTCATCCTGAGACAGATGTCTATACTAATCTGTAATGTAAATATACTATTATACACACACACTCGTATAAAACAATTGATAACAAAACCATCAGATGATACCATTTAACTGATAAAAGTACTCCCAGAGTAATGTAGGGCTTGGAAAATGTTTGGTTGAACGTTATCCAACACCTAATAATCCATAAATTTTAAAATTGTAAACTCCGAATATTGCAATATATTGCAGTCATATATACATCTCTATAGTAAAAATACTACTGACATCTTTTGAAAGGGATATTGTCATCTCTCCAGGATACATCAAACTTATTTCATGGATGTTATGTACACAAGATTTACATGTTTTCGTATCCCTATTAAAAGTTAAGTAATCAATAGTATCATGTACATTGTATATTTGACCTTGTGGTTAGGATAACGAATATATACATCACAACATATCATTTTTATATTGGGTAATTTAGAGGTAAATAATATGTCTTTTTTTATTGAATAAACTTCATCTGCTTGGGCCATTACTAGTATTTTTCTATTTGCTGGATCACAGATATCCTATTAAGGCTCTCCCAATTGGAAATATAATCTAATCCAAATTTACGTTTACATTTTTCTTCTGACATGTCATAAACACATTATTTTGAGATTTCTCAGTATTTAGAAAAATCATCTTTAAAACGTATGATGCTCAATTTGACATTAACTTTCTGACAAATTGTTGAGTCAGTGTGTCATAAGTGGAATTCCTTGCATAATAAATCTGGAGCTGAGTCTCTTGTCTCTGATACATGTAGCTGAAATTACCTCCCTTTGTCTGCTAAGAAAAAATGACAAAAACATTGGAGATACCAGCCAAACATCTAAAGATGGTTGATCTTAGCATTGGTGCAAGAACTAATCAACATGACATGATATTTAGCAGTGTATGAAATAAGGCCCATCCGACCGCCCGAGACGGGCTAGATTTCTGATGGACAGCCTAAATTTACAGCTAGCCAGCCCGCTGGTCTGGTAGAAATTTTGGATAACACTTCCATACATCTGAGTAAATGCAACATATCTTGAAATCTATTCTTCAAATCGAGCGTTACATTTACACTTGACAATTACTGTTTGACGTTGAACTATCGTATCGCAAGCTCAAAGCACTAACTAACTAAGAATTGAGTTTTTTCTTTGGATTGTCTGGTCTGGTCCATTTTGACCTGGTAACATTTTGAAGTTACCAGTCCTGATGTCTGGCTGGGTTTTGGCTTATTTCATAGACTGTATTTAGCTTTTTGTAATTACTTTTATACCTTCTCCAACTTCTGATTTTAACACACACAAAAAGTCTGTGATCCAAGAAATATAAAAATAATTTCCTTAAATATGTGAAAAAAGGCACTAAAAATATACAACATCTCTTGGGCATATTGAGCAAAGGGTTCACTGTTTGATACGAGAAGGATAATAATACAGACACTTTGAGCTTTGTTGGAAGAAATCATTCTAATATAACAATGATAACAATAATACATGACAGTACTATTTCATTCCACCAGAATGAATAACTTTGGCTTTCTAAGGTCCACTTAAGTGAATACTGGTAATTTATTGAAAGATCACATGACATTGTAATGCTGTAACGGACATAACTGCAGGGATGTGCATTTTCTAGCACAGCAGTTCAGTGAAAGTACAAAAGTATGTTATATTCAGAGAGAATACTACTGCATTCCATCATGAGCGGTGGAGGTGCCTACATCTTGCACAAAATACTGCTCCTGTTCTGGCTCAGCATATTCATTCTCCATGGCAGGTACCTCATTCTGAGGAGATGTCTGAGGTGGAGGAAATGAACTTTGACCCACAGGAAGTGTCCACAGAGGAGGTGATATGGGGCCTGCAGGGGGTTGTGGGATGTTTGTGGGTGTTTCAAGACAGGCTGGTACTGGGGGAGACATTCCTGCAGGAGGATACATCATCTCGGACTGGGGCTGTGGCAAGCATGAACCAGGTGGTGGTGTTGGAGCTAAGGCTTCTTGTGCTTCTGCATCACGCTTTGCTTCAACACTTTTATGGTAGTCTATCAACAGCTGAGCTTTGTCAGGACGCATTTGATCCCATACAAATGCACCATGGCGCTGAAAAAATATTTGGATTGATTTTACTGAAGTTATGAACAATTACTATGCTAAAAACTATATACTGAGGAAAACAAATAAGGGAACACATAAATGATCAAGTGCTCCTATGTTTTTACCATGTTTCTTTGCAAGCTTTGTATTGCAATGTGGGTGAAAATTGGAGAAAAAACATCCCTCAGTATATGATTTAGAGGGATTATAGTAATATGATAATTTATATGATTTATGATTTGATCATGATCAAACTGATCATGTTAAAACAATATTCTTTTCTCTAAGTTTCTGTTGCAGCAAAAAATCCACTCCTGGATGTAAGAATCTTATTTGTTTAATGCTGGGGCGATGCTTAAAACAAATTTGACTAAACAAAAAGGAAGAAGAAAATATTCTCAATACAGTAAGCAAATTTTCAACATCTATCCCTTAGCACAGTAATGATGGGTCAATATCAATTGTCAGAGAGTGAAAAGATATTTTCATTATTTCATTATTTGCAGAACAGTTTAAACAACAAGTCTGTTCTAAATAATGAAGCTTGCCACTATGTAAATTTGGAAGATGAAATATCAATGAAGGATGGCTTTGTTTTCCTTACCTTGGACCTGATCGGATAGTTTGGATCTGCCCGACTGTCATACTGATGCTCAAAGGAAATACCTTCCTTGTACAATCTCTGGTCACCAGATCGAGAGCGCAGGAAGTTCACGGGAACTAATTGTTGGAAAGTGAATGACAGTAGTTGAGAAAAAACATTTGAGATGCAAGTGATAAAATCAATGAACAATTAATCAGTAACTGACATGTCCCTTATCATTAACTTGGCAATATTTTTATGTCATAATACAGTTAGCTTAGCTGACTAGCATGTTTCTATTATAAAGTTAAAGATGCCGACTGCTGATTAAGCCCCAAGGGTTTTTTTCTTTCAAACTTTGTATTTAACAACAACTTGGGTCCCTTAAAAGTTTAATCTCAACACAGGTAAAATGACATTCATGTATATTTCATCAGTAAAAGGCCTTGCTCTGAGGTTCCAATTGTCGCTCATATTATCTTGGTAAACTAACCTGTTCCTAAAGCAGGCTCCTTATTTGGATTAGCAAGGTGTCGAGTGGAGCCAAACGAAGCTGATTCCTTTGAGAACTGAAAATCAGCTCTTTGTGTTGTGTCACGTGTGTATTCAGGTATGTTGAGAGGGTCAGAGCTTGTCCGAGATGGCCACCAGTTATGTTGGTCTGGGTAGGTGCTCCTTGTAAATACTGTGCATACAGGTTCATTCAGCAGTCTCGCATCATGTCGCAAAAAAGCCACAGCTCATAGGTTGGGGATTATGAGCCCGGAAATCTGGAGTTGTGTAGGGTAGAACTCTTGTCTCTCTGATGGTTATGTCTGGAAGTAATTTTCTGGCTGGCCTTGGATCAGACGCATAAACAGGTTTTATGACTGCATCTTGAAACTTTGGATGGACATTTTCAGCATCAAGGCTCACAACCCTAAATGAGTCGGGACTGCAATAATAACATAACACAGATGTGGGTCAGGCTTAAAACATACTTTATCTGAAACAAAAAAATGTTTTGGTCCTGCTACTTGTTGAAAAAGAAACAGGAAGGGGGCAAAACATTTGTGTGAAAAGAACTACAGTACATTGATTTAAAATGAGTGAGTTTAGTTTTACGCTGCACTCAGCAATATTCCAGCTATTTTGCAGCGGTCTATAAATAATCGAGTCTGGACCAGACAATCCAGTGATCAACAGCATGAGCATCAATCTGTGCAATTTGGAACCGATGACATGTGTCAACCAAGCCAGCGAGCCTGACCACCTGATCCCGTTCCTCGCCTCTTACGACAAGCATGGGTTACTGAAGGTTTATTCTAACCCAGGCCTTCCCGGGTACAGTGATTTAAAAAATAAATCAATTACAATAACAGAAAATTATCCGTTCTGATCAAAACATTTCAGTCTGAACTGTAGGTCATGTAAACATATCTATATTTAGGCCTTAGTGCTCCGCTAACCACATTCTACTTATTGGTTTTGTGAACATTTGTTTTGTAAACAACTGTTCCTACGCTCGCTCTACCAATGGCAATGTGCATATATTGATTTATACCTGTCATTATTCATTAATGATCGATTGGTGGAAAACACCTGCATGAATGAGTGAACTTCACTGAGATTATGAACACGGCTTTTGCATTGATTTAATATAATGTAAGCAGTCGTAAATTAAACTTAACACCTACTTGTACTTTTCGGGAACTCTCTTCTTTCGCGCTATTGGTGGCATATAAGTTGCCATCGTGTTATGTTTGTTTCGATGGTGTTATCATTTACAAAAAGGTGCCATACACTTTTTTCATTAGGCGGAAGCCGCCATATTGTTGTCATGTCGTCGCCCCTAGAAACGGAAGCGGAAGTGACAGCCATACTTGACAACAATAAACAAAATGGCTGCGATGGTGAGGTTGATGCGACAAATTGATGGTGTTATAGAAGAATGCTATAACCGAAAAAAGTAAGTTTAATATCAATTTTGTGCGTGAAATTTGTATATTGTGAGTTATCAACACCAGTAGGAATTTCATTATTTTCGATTTTTGTCAGGGAAGGAGGAAACAGTGATTGTTGTTGTTTCTATCTGGGCTGTATTACTGTTTTACTGTATGTAACAACATATGCTTAAATATTAGCTACATAAAGACAAAACAGTGCAGTTCGTTCAGGCTATCAAACTGTTTCACGGGAGCCTTGCTTACTTATTTTGTGCTGTTGGTACATTCATGTTTATAGTATAATTATCTGGGAACCTTCATTGACTCTAAACTGAACTGGAACTCTAACACTGAAGCCCTATACAAATAGTGTCAACAACGTCTTCATTTCATGCCTAAACTGAGATATTTTAATGTTAACCCATCTGTGATGTCATCTTTTTATGTAGCATTTATTCAGAGTATTTTAACATTTTCCTTCAATTGTTGGTACGGGTCTCTCTCAGTTCATCTCAAATCTAAAATAGACAAAATTGTTAACACTGCAAGTAAAATCGCTGGAGTCAGATTTGAATGTTTATCATCAATATATGAGGGGCAAATCGTGAATCAAGCTGTCAAAATTATATCTGACCATACTCACTACTTAAATTCGGAATACAACCTCCTCCCTTCAGGCCGCTGCTACAAAGTTCCAATTGTGAAAACTAAGAGAGCCCATACATCCTTTATTCCAAGTACCATATCTCTCTTAAACAAATGTGAAGATACCTAAATCAAAGAATTTATGTAAATATGTTTTGTATCTCTCTAATGTGTCAGTAGCTCTGCTGATGTAACACAAATTCCTGAAAAGGCATTAAAGTATTATTCTATTCTATTTGTGCACTTTGCCTCTCCCTGTCCAACATAATATCGATATATATACTCATATTATGGGTTTTAGGACACTTTGGTTGTTATCTTTCTATGAACGACGATTATATGATCCAACACCACACATTATGGCCTGAGCAAAAGTGCTGTCCGAAAGCCTATGATTCGATGATGATAAAATGGGATAACACACAAATAGATTAAACAAAATAATTATCATGGTTATACCTACTTCACACCTTATGTGTTTCACATGCTTGAGAGGTGATGTTTAGCCAGTGTTAACCATCTAAATTTGTCCTATGGTAGGAAATAACATAGATGAGGAATATAACTCTATGTTACACAATGCTGGATAGATTTTGAATGTGTATATTTATGTACTGTACTCATTTTTGGACAGAAGTTCTTTCCAGAATGTTTACAAAATGTACACCAAGTGAAAGTAGGAATTTGCAGCTCTGGTTCATTTGAATATGCTATAATAGTAGTGCAAGTATGAGAATGAGCAATTTTTAGGAGCCTTAAAGTTAATAAACAACACAATGGCGCTTTTTGTCTTGGTGAGAGATTAGTGTCCTTGGTTACAAAAGTTAGTAAACAAAAGAGCGTTAAAATATGCATTAATGGGTACATCAAGGACTTATGTCTTAATGACGGTGAGAGCTTCACTTGGCAGTGTCCATAAAACCAGCTTAAGCTGCACGGAATTTAAATGTTACATGATGACTATGAATTGTTTATTCACATTCTGGAAGTGCATGTGAATCAGTTATCAAAGGCATATCAGTTCTATGTGTAGATTTTTGTCAGGTAGACAGAAATCTACGATCATGTGTTTTCGAATCCATGTTTGCTCTGATAGTGTTTCTTGGATAGAGGCTGCCAGTGCCATACCCATTCCTATGGTGTACAAAAATGCGAAAGATGTCTAAGTTCTGCCCAAAGTGACATTAAACCACCACCAAACTCCCCCCCTAAATATGTTCATACTTTATGGTTGAATGTCCTCCCTAGACTATTTGTTTGCATTATGTGCGAGTGAACCACTTACAATTGACTTCCCCACTTTCTGTTATGCTCTGATGGTGAGCATCCCCCATCCCGATTCACCTGAATTACAAATTACAGGCATGTATTGTCCTTTGCATGTTCATATACTTCACTGACGAACAGTGACTGAGTTTAGCTTTACGCCACACTCAGCAATATTCCAGCTATATGGCTGTGGTCTGTAAATAATCGAGTCTGGACCAGACAATCCTGTGATCAACAGCACGTGCATCGATCTATGCAATTGGGGTACGATGACATGTGTCAGCGAGTCTGACCACCTGACACCTGTTGCCTCTTGCAACAACTGATGAGAAGAACTATGCTGCAACTGCTCATGACTGACTGAGTTTGGTTTTCACGCTTTTATTCCAGCAACATCATTCCACCAGAAATGCAACATCACATTGTACCCATGTGGGGATTCAACCACTCTTGAGGCTACCTTTAACCACTAGGCTACCCCAAAACTGCTCATGGATATTAATTAGTTACTTCCTTTTACAGTGAGGCTGAAGAGAACAGAGAAGCGGAATATGTGGCAGCTGTTAAAGTTCAAGCTTGGTTTAGAGGAACACGATCACGGAGCTATCTAAGGTACCTTCTGTCAACCATGAGACATGAACATTTTCTTTAGAATCATTTGGGTCATCAATGGTGAATTCTTTTGCACCATTTTTTTAAATTTCTTTTTACAGATTACAAACTAAAGTACAAACTATAATATCTTTAATGGTATGTGTTAAAATTAGCACTTAGTTATCAAACGTAATGGTTTTGAGAGTACTTTTATCATGTTTATGGGTCAAGCTTAAGAAATATAAACATATTTCAGTTATTGGTTGCTTTAGTTTGGTTTAACTGAAAAGGAAATAGCCTGTGAACAGAATTGTGAAGTTTAACTGAAATTCAGTGCAAGTGTCAACTGCAGTCTTGTCAATTTAGATTATGAAACAATCAAAGAAGTGACATTTCAATCAAATAGCAATGGATATTTGTGTGAAGCAAATAATAGATATGTTATGAATAATGTAATATGTTCCTTCACATTTGCCTAATGTTTCTTTTATAAATTGTAGTTTCCTCAACAAATGTGCCACAGCTGTACAAAAATCATGGAGGGGCTACCTTGGACGTCAGTACTACCGGCTGCTTGTCAAGGTGATTATGCTTTGTTTGTTCATCTTCCTTAATGTCTCGGTGTGGTAGTCTAGTGGTTAAAGCATCCGCTCAGCACGCCGAAGACCCGGTTCGATTCCTCACATGGGTACATTGTGTGAAGCCCATTTCTGGTGTCTCCCGCCATGATATTGCTGGAATATTGCTAAGACCATACTCACTCACTCCTTAATGTCTCATAAAGCTTTTCCACAATAGTCAATTATTTCAAACACTTTCAAGATTGTATTTTAATAAAGTTACGCTTTGACGAATCTTTTAAAATGCTATGACAAACAAAGATTCAATTGCATTACGTTTTGTGTTCTCAGAACAGTGTGTTCATCATGAAGCTGAATCAGTACAATGCGATGGCCACCAAGGTAATTACTCTATACATTGTTTCTTTTTCATAAAAACTGCTTAGTGACTGTTCATAATTTTGAGTTTTAAAATACAACATCACAACTGTTTCTTCTATTGAAATTATTCTCTTTGAAAAAATAGTCTATTACAATGTACTCATGGTGTTCCATGAGTACGCTAAATCATGGACAGTCTGCAAATTAGATTACCTATCTGGAACCTGAGTCTAATACCACCATGTTGGGACTAGTAAGTTTAAATGATATAACAACTAAAATTGACTGAAAATGATGCTCAAAAGGCAAATGAATTTTGAAATGGTCTGTATATGTAGCAGGGCCTGGAGTCATCCCACAGATGACATCCTTACCTTGTCAGCTTGCTGATTGGGTTAACCTCTTTGGTCATATGGACAAGGCGTCTGACTTAGCACCAGAAGGTCCGTGGTTCGAATCCCAGCACGGGACTTGGAAATTTTATGGCCGCTACATTGGCGCCAAATGGCTGAGCATGTTCATATGAAATTTGAGCAAAATAGGGTCAGTACCCTGCTATGTGGTCCGGGACGTGCCTTCTGTTGACGGGGGAGTATGTAGCAGGGCGTAGAGTCATCCCACAGATGACATCCTTACCTTGTCAGCTTGCTGATGGGGTTAACCTCTTTGGTCATATGGACAAGGCGTCCGACTTAGCACCAGAAGGTCCGTGGTTCGAATCCCAGCACGGGACTCGGAAATTTTATGGCCGCTACATATATATAGTGTAACTGTAATATGTTTTTTGTGTTGGTACCATGGTTACAGATTCAGAAGGTGTGGCGAGGATACTATGTCAGGAAATACATCTTTAACTACTACAGCCGTAAACGGTACCTTGAGGCATTGCAAGTGAAGAATGAGATTTTCAGGTAGGTCTCACTGCTTGATATGACATTGTATTATATAAGGGGTTATGCTGGGATCATGTTTCTAAAATACATGTTAAGCAAAGGAGCTACACAAAATGTACATAAAATACAGAATAAAAGAATCATTTTGACCAACAGGACAAAGTCACTTTTACTCTGGAAAATCAAATATTCATTCAGTACGTCACTAATGTTGAACAATAGCTGACAACAAGCTGATATAAAAATATGTGTCTGTTGATGAGTGCAAGTCTTGTACAACATTCTTTTGTATTATATGTTATTAGAATCATGATTTTCTTCCCCTAACAGAACGGAACTGGCTGATTTCACTGAACGACAGGCTCAGATCAGACGGAAAATTGAAGAACAAGAACAACACAGACAACAAGCCCAGGCTGCCAGGAAGAATCATTATCTTTTGAGTACCGAGGTGATCCCTGGAATCTACAATTCCCCTTTCGAGCCGTGAGTTATCTTCTTTCTTACTTACTGTTTTTCTGTGAATCATATATCTGATGTAACTTACTGCCCAACTGAGAATTGTGTCCATTATTACTTACTGCTCATCAGGGTGTCATATCCTTTAGTACTGCCCATCAGGGTGTCATATCCTTTATTACTTACTGCCCATCAGGGTGCCATATCCTTTATTACTTAGTGTCCATCAGGGTGCCATATCCTTTATTACTTAGTGCCCATCAGTGTGCCATATCCTTTATTACTTAGTGCTCATCAGGGTGCCATATCCTTTATTACTTACTGCCCATCAGTGTGCCATATCCTTTATTACTTAGTGTCCATCAGGGTGTCATATCCTTTATTACTTAATGCCCATCAGGGTGTCATATCCTTTATTACTTACTGCCCATCAGGGTGTCATATCTTTTATTACTTAGTGCCCATCAGGGTGCCATATCCTTTATTACTTACTGCTCATCAGTGTGTCATATCCTTTATTACTTAGTGCCCATCAGGGTGTCATATCCTTTATTACTTACTGCCCATCAGGGTGTCATATCCTTTATTACTTACTGCCCATCAGGGTGTCATATCCTTTATTACTTACTGCCCATCAGGGTGTCATATCCTTTATTACTTACTGCCCATCAGGGTGTCATATCCTTTATTACTTAGTGCCCATCAGGGTGTCATATCCTTTATTACTTACTGCCCATCAGGGTGTCATATCCTTTATTACTTACTGCCCATCAGGGTGTCATATCCTTTATTACTTACTGTCCATCAGGGTGTCATATCCTTTATTACTTACTGCCCATCAGGGTGTGTCATATCCTTTATTACTTAGAGACCATCAGGGTGTCATATCCTTTATTACTTAGTGCCCATCAGGGTGTCATATCTTTATTACTTAGTGCCCATCAGGTCCATCATGTGTCATATCTTTTATTACTTACTGCCCATCAGTGTGCCATATCCTTTATTACTTACTGCCCATCAGGGTGTCATATCCTTTATTACTTACTGCCCATCAGGGTGTCATATCCTTTATTACTTACTGCCCATCAGGGTGCATATCTTTTATTACTTAGTGACCATCAGGGTGTCATATCTTTTATTACTTACTGCCCATCAGGGTGTCATATCCTTTATTACTTAGTGCCCATCAGGGTGTCATATCCTTTATTACTTAGTGCCCATCAGGGTGTCATATCCTTTATTACTTACTGCCCATCAGGGTGTCATATCCTTTATTACTTAGCCCATCAGGGTGTCATATCCTTTATTACTTACTGCCCATCAGGGTGCCATATCCTTTATCATATCAGGGTGTCCTTTATTACTTAGTGCCCATCAGGGTGTCATATCCTTTTATTACTTACTGCCCATCAGGGTGCTATCATCCTTTTTATTACTTACTGCCCATCAGGGTGTCATATCCTTTATTACTTACTGCCCATCAAGGTGTCATATCCTTTATTACTTATCAGGGTGTCATATCTTTTATTACTTACTGCCCATCAGGGTGTCATATCCTTTATTACTTAGGGTGCCCATCAGGGCCCATCAGGAGTCATATCCTTTATTACTTACTGCCCATCAGGGTGTCATATCCTTTATTACTTACTGCCCATCAGGGTGTCATATCCTTTATTACTTACTGCCCATCAGGGTGTCATATCCTTTATTACTTACTGCCCATCAGGGTGTCATATCCTTTATTACTTACTGCCCATCAGGGTGTCATATCCTTTATTACTTACTGCCCATCAGGGTGTCATATCCTTTATTACTTACTGCCCATCAGGGTGTCATATCCTTTATTACTTACTGCCCATCAGGGTGTCATATCCTTTATTACTTACTGCCCATCAGGGAAAAGGGTGTCATATCCTTTATTACTTACTGCCCATCAGGGTGTCATATCCTTTATTACTTACTGCCCATCAGGGTGTCATATCCTTTATTACTTAGTGCCTACTGCCCATCATCAGGGTGTCATATCCTTTATTACTTACTGCCCATCAGGGTGTCATATCCTTTATTACTTAGTGTCCATCAGGGTGTCATATCCTTTATTACCTCATGCCCATCAGGGTGTCATATCCTTTATTACTTACTGCCCATCAGGGAGTCATATCCTTTATTACTTAGAGACCATTGGGGTGTCATATCTTTTATTACTTACTGCCCATCAGGGTGTCATATCTTTATTACTTACTTACTGCCCATCAGGGTGTCATATCCTTTATTACTTACTGCCCATCAGGGTGTCATATCCTTTATTACTTACTGCCCATCAGGGTGTCATATCCTTTATTACTTACTGCCCATCAGGGTGTGTCATATCCTTTATTACTTATTACTGCCCATCAGGGTGTCATATCCTTTATTACTTACTGCCCATCAGGGTGTCATATCCTTTATTACTTACTGCCCATCAGGGTGTCATATCCTTTATTACTTACTGCCCATCAGGTTGTGTCATATCCTTTATTACTTACTGCCCATCAGGGTGTCATATCAGGGTGTCTTTCCTTTATTACTTACTGCCCATCAGGGTGTCATATCTGCCCATTATTACTTACTTACTGCCCATCAGGGTGTCATATCCTTTATTACTTACACGCCCATCAGCCCATCAGGGTGTCATATCCTTTTTATTTACTTACTGCCCATCAGGGTGTCATATCTTTTATTACTTACTGCCCATCAGGGTGTCATATCCTTTATTATTACTTCAGGGCCCATCAGGGGTCATATATCCTTTATTACTTACTGCCCATCAGGGTGTCATATCCTTTATTACTTACTGCCCATCAGGGTGTCATATCCTTTATTACTTACTGCCCATCAGGGTGTCATATCCTTTATTACTTACTGCCCATCAGGGTGTCATATCCTTTATTACTTACTGCCCATCAGGGTGTCATATCCTTTATTACTTACTGCCCATCAGGGTGTCATATCCTTTATTACTTACTGCCCATCAGGGTGTCATATCCTTTATTACTTACTGCCCATCAGGGTGTCATATCCTTTATTACTTACTGCCCATCAGGGTGTCATATCCTTTATTACTTACTGCCCATCAGGGTGTCATATCCTTTATTACTTACTGCCCATCAGGGTGTATCATATCCTTTATTACTTACTGCCCATCAGGGAGTCATATCCTTTATTACTTACTGCCCATCAGGGTGTCATATCCTTTATTACTTACTGCCCATCAGGGTGTCATATCCTTTATTACTTACTGCCCATCAGGGTGTCATATCCTTTATTACTTACTGCCCATCAGGGTGTCATATCCTTTATTACTTACTGCCCATCAGGGTGTCATATCCTTTATTACTTACTGCCCATCAGGGTGTCATATCCTTTATTACTTACTGCCCATCAGGGTGTCATATCCTTTATTACTTACTGCCCATCAGGGTGTCATATCCTTTATTACTTACTGCCCATCAGTGCTATATCCTTTATTACTTACTGCCCATCTCAGGGAATCATCCTTTCATTATCCTTTATTACTTACTGCCCATCAGGGTGTCATATCCTTTATTACTTACTGCCCATCAGGGTGTCATATCCTTCATGGAGTCATATCCTTTATTACTTACTGCCCATCAGGGTGTCATATCCTTTATTACTTACTGCCCATCAGGGTGTCATATCTTTTATTACTTACTGCCCATCAGGGTGTCATATCCTTTATTACTTACTGCCCATCAGGAATCATATCCTTTATTACTCATCATATCCTTTATTACTTACTGCCCATCAGGGTGTCATATCCTTTATTACTTACTGCCCATCAGGGTCATATCCTTTATTATCCTTCATATCCTTTATTACTTACTGCCCATCAGGGTGTCAGAGTGTCATATCCTTTATCATATCCTTTATTACTTACTGCCCATCAGGGAGTCATATCCTTTATTACTTACTGCCCACAGTGCTGTATATCCTTATTACTTACTGCCCATTTATCAGGGTGTCATATCCTTATTACTTACTGCCCATCAGGGAATCATATCCTTTACTACTTACTGTCCATGAGGGTGTCATATCTTTTATAACTGCCCATCAGGGAGTCATATCCTTTATTACTGCAATTAGGGAATCATATCCTTTATTACTGCAATTAGGGAATCATATCCTTTATTACTGCCCATTAGGGAATCATATCCTTTATTACTGCCTATCAGGGTGTCATATCCTCGGTGAATGCTTTGTAGATTGGGCCCCAACCTTTTCAGTGTATGTTTTTGTTGTTTTACATTTCTTAACTTCATCTGATACCATGATTCAGGTATCCATCTGAGCAGGAACTCATACTACGTAGTATCAAACCTCTTGTCCACAAGAAGAAGAAAGAAAAGGGACACCTGTTTGATCCAGCATGGGCCAGTTATAACCTGCCGCGACCAGATACACTTCCTCCATTACACCAGAAACCTCAAGTAAGTTGCATGGAAGCTGAATGTTTTTGAAAGAGGTTGATGCTAAATATGTTTATAATGAGGCAAAATATATTCACAATAGGTTTTCATCCTCACTGATTGTTATAGAGAGAATGTAATGTTGAAAAAGTATTACTGTGAAGCAAATTTTTGATAGTCCTTCATTCATTGTTTATTGCTAATTGAGTTCTATCCTGAGTGGTGGTATTCTTACAAGGAATTGATTTTATGTGCCACCATGTTCGTTGTTTAAGGGTCCATTCCGTGATCCTGAGGATGTACAGAAACAGCGATACAAGCCGTTCCAGCCCTCACTGAGAGTGGCCACCTCCTTCTACTCGCTGGAGGATGCTCGCAAACAGATGAAGGGCGAGGAGTGGGTCACCCGTTTGAACGATGATGTGTGAGTGGGCTCTTCTCGATGATAAATATTCAGACTGTTCTTCATACAATTCTGAGTCATCTTTTCGACTGTAAAACATCAATGTCACACTTTTCACATGAACATTTTTGTTGAAATGTTCTTCACATATCTTATTTCAATTTTACTAACTTTTTTGAATTTTAAGAATCTGAATATTGAACTGTTAAGCATTATATGAGTTGCATCTGTTGATCAAAGAATCATCTTATTTGGTATTTGGCTGTTAAGATTATCAAAACTGAAATGTTAGCCATTAACCTGTTGTAAATATACTGGCTCATACTGTATTCTTTGTATTAGGTTCGTACCCTTTTCAAGACGACACACATCTTATAAACCACTGTTACACACCACCTCCAAGTTCGGCCACCTGCCGTATGGCACCAAGTTCTTCAGGGAGGAGTTCTTGGACAAACATGTCTCTAATCAGGTAAGGATCATGATTTCTCCTCTGTGGGTGGGAAACCAACAGAAGCTGACTGCCAAAGATAACTTCCTTGAAGTATCCATGCAAATCCCACTCCAAATTAAACTCCTCGGCTAAATACCCCAAAGCTTATCAAAAGCTGTTTTAAGCAAATACTATACATGAGTCACATCACTGGTTCGTCATCAGTTTGTTTGTTTATTTGCATATTAAGCAAATACAGGATCCAGAACTGATTTCAACAGGAGATATTATTTCAGTGAAATTTCATCATATTGCTTTTGCAGGCCAATGTGATGGCATCAAATATTCTCTCAGACACTGAAGCTCATTAGCTGTATTTTTTCACTTGAGACACTTGTTATTACTGTTTAATAACTGAAAAGGTTGAATGAATGATTTGAGAAGATAAAAATGCCTTTTGATATCAAACATGTCACAATTGTTGTTGAAAGTTCTGACTCTGCAATCCTTGAAGTTTTAAGCTGGACCCATGTTAATATTGTGTTTAATATCAAAAGCCAAGTTGGTGATGTTCTCAACAATCTTTCCAAGGAAAGCTAACTGACCATTAAGTAAATATCCACTGTGGCTAAACTAGGCTGGAATATCCAAGTTATATTTTGGCTCAACTGACAAGTCTGTGCATAGTCAAAACCATGTAATGGAATTGACAATGATTTTGTAAACAAAATGGCAACTGCCAAGCAGATTTTGATTAGTTGCAGAATGTTTTTATATCAACAGAACTGTCATAGTCAGTTAACTAACTTTTATCTGGAACATGATTCAGCATATGATTAGTTTTCCTAAGGATACTGTAGAACTGTATTTTGCTAACACTGTGACTTCCTCTCCTTTTCAGAATTTCAAGACTCTTGTACAACCGGTTCCAATCTTTGACAAGCTCAATGACACATATTCACAAGGCCAGGTATAGCACGAACACTTGTATGTGGATAAACAAACCAAATGTGATATTTACAATTATTGAAGTCATATGTAGATACAAATCAGCTTTAGAACATGAAACCAGCCTAATGCTGTTACGAAACACATGTATGTCAGCAATTGTTTAAGGCTGTTGCAGTGTCCAGATACTATGATAAAATGTTTGAATGTGTTATCCATTCATGTAATTGTATAAAGCATGTAAATACTCTCACATATGTAGACATGTCTGTAGTGAAGATACAGGTGTGAGACTGCACATAGTTTTTAGTGCATGTCTTCTTACCAGATTGAATATTTAGTCAGTATAAACTGATACCATTGTGATGTAAACGTTGTAATCAAACAGTATTAATATGTCTACAATGTTGCCTGGCATACTTTTGTTTGGTTAATTTCTTGTTTGTTTTGATATGTAAGCGTAATTCATAGACCTATCACAAATTGATTTTAATTAAGCCACCTGATTGCCCATCAAATTAGGCCTTAGTGTTTGTTGTTTGATATTCAAGTTAGAAGGTAGAATTTTATACAGATGTCACGATTTCACAAGGCTGGATTTTGTTGATTCTACTGATATCTGTGAAGCTGATAGATAAATGCTTGTGAATATTGTATATCATCAGTGACCATGTTCGAGTTGTTTTTGTTCATGATTCCGTCCACAAGCTATAAATGCAATAAACTTGGGAATGAAACTTGTGTGGTGTGGTAGATACTTGTTCAGGATCACAATCATCGGTTTCGTGAAACTTCAACCTCATCTTGTGAAACATCGGGGGAGCTGTACTGAAACTTGTTCACAACTAGAGCTAGACAAGACTAGACCACATTTACAGACATGTGACCATCATATGACACAATCGAACAATTAGTCATGTGACCATCGTATGACACAACTAGAACAATTACAGTCAGGTGACCATCATATGACACAATCAGAACAATTAGTCACGTGACCATCGTATGACACAACCAGAACAATTAGTCATATGACCATCATATGACACACCAAAGCAATTACAATCAGGTGACCATCATTTGACACAACCAGAACAATTAGTCATGTTCATTCATAGGATAGTTATATAACGCACATATCCGCGCAACTAGTGCATGCTCAAGGTGCTGGTATTTTTTCCCTTGATCATTGGATGTCAATCTCAGCGGCACATCTTATTATCAATCTCAACTCCCTGGGGAGTATACAACTCTTGCTGCCACCAGGTGCGCCGAGTTATTGTAGCTATCTCATCCTAACGAGGTACCCATTCACAGCTGGGTGGACAGATACACATAGTCACAGTACTTTGTCCAAGTTCACTGCACGTTGCTGTACCCGCTACTTGGTGTTTGCACGTATTCATGTGGCCACCATCTGGTCATATACCAACAGATTCGTGGGTTCTTTTAAGTGCACAGGGTTGTGTACTGTACACTAGGGGTTGTGACAACACTGAAAGAGTCTGCACACAAAGTTGACTCCAAGGGTTTTTTTTACACCTCACCACATGGGCCATCATATGACACACCAGAACAATTACAGGCAACCAGAAAAATTAGTCATGTTACCATCATATGACACAACTAGAACAATTACAGTCATGTGACTATCATATGACACAACCAGAACAATTACAGTCATGTGACCATCATATGACACAACCAGAACAATTACAGTCATGTGACCATCATATGACACAACCAGAACAATTGCAGTTCTGTGACCATCATATGACACAACCAGAACAATTACAGTCATGTGACACAACCAGAACAATTACAGTCATGTGACCATCATATGACAACCAGAACAATTTCAGTCATGTGACCATCATATGACACTTCCACAACAATTAGACATGTGACCTTCAGAAGAGACAAGAAGTACTAGTGTCATGTGACCTTTATGAGACCTAACCATGCACAACATTAACGGTTTTCAGAATTCTGGTGTCATAGTGTAACAAGAATGCAAAGCTTCAGCTTAATTGGTCCAGTCCGTGATTTCCGAGAAGTTAATTTTTTGATGGCAACAAAATACAGATGACTTAGTTACTGGGGTCTTTGGTCAGCCGAATGTAACTGAGAAGCTGAATCAAACATTGTATTATAGTACTGTCGGAAATAGAAAAAAACTGTATTTTCTAATTTATCTCTACAATTTATGTAGTTGATATGTGAAAGTGTGAAAGATCTGTTAAACTATGTTCGGCCTAACTACAGTCTCAGTGGTATAGAGATAGAAAACGGAGAAAAAGGACTTTACTGAGGGGAAATTAGTGCAGAAATGAGCAATGCGGTTTTTTTCTAAGTCCAAAAAGACTTATTTGGAACAGACCATGGCTTTATGCAAATTAGTGTGCGACGATATTGTATTACAAAGGACACTTTTTAAATGCCCAATTTGAAATTAGATGTAGACGTAAAAAATAATAACTTTTATGCCGAAACTATTAAGGATGTAGTTTCACTGTCACTATAAAAAGAAACAGATAGGAGGGGTCGCCACAAAAGCAAAACCTGGGGTCGGGCTTGGGGATAGAGATATCAGCTAAGATAAGATAATCCTTTAGGGCAATAATACTAGGGAGGTACACGGCACGTCATAACAATTTACAAATAATGTCCAGTCCTGTCGATCTTCGGGTGGTCATGCCACCTATATACTACGATGCGTTTCTATGGTTTTCGGGTATCATACTCTCTTACATATTTCAACATAAACTTTATGAAAGAAAGACACGTAAAATGTTAATCAGTAGATGAGACATAGTCAACACACATGAAAAAGCACAAAATATCTTTGAGATGACCCCTTGTGCCTGCAGGCAGCACGTGCATTTCATGCCAGGTGAGTCGACATACCTGGCTGAGCGACCTAATTGCCATCTATTCTGATCTATTGTTTTCAGCAGCTATTCGTATTTTTTTTGTTTTGCCCGATTTTACGAGTAAACATGCTTTTCTGGATATCGTATTACGCATCCCACTGAATGCCCAGTTAGGCCGAAGTGGGTTATTTTCGACATATGCTATTTGCAACTGTGTCAATTTTAGGGATACAGAGTAACAGCATAACAACAGTTTTTTTCTATTTCCGACAGTACTATAGTGGTTGTGTTCTTCAGTGACATAATCACACAACACTGATTGACAAGACTTGCTATAGGCTCACCCTTGCCCCCAGTCCTAACTGAAAATGTAATGACTGACTTGTAAGGGAAAGCTCTACAAACTGCACCCTTCAAACCAACCTGCTGGTACTGAAAAGTATATGATACTTTTGTCATCCTCCAACCTAATCCATGATCCTATCCAGCTTCTCACCTATCTCAACAACCAACTTCCCTACGTCAGATTCATGATGGAACAGAAGAACCAACCACCTTTGCCATCATATGAATAGGAGCTCCATCGATGATCTAAAATAACTTGAACTAAGTTGTCATGCGACCTACTTTTTCCAACAGAAAACCAACCCACACAGATCAGTACATCCACTACCACTCCAGTCATTGGAAGCATCTCTACATTTAACAAGAAGAGCGAAGAAGATCTACTCCACAAATATACAGAAAAATTGAACCGCTGAAGAACGTAGACCCGAACCACTACCCATCCCAAACAGAACTATTGCAGCTACTCTATTATCTTCCTAAATAACCTGACCTAAATCCAGGTTCAACCTCCATCAAGATCTCCATTCCCTACATGGTAAACCATTACACCAAATCAGCTGACTCCTAAAACGTCAAGCAATCATATATAACAGCTCTTCATTTTCCAGGATCAACAACCTTACAAATCACATGTATGCACCTTTAATGCGTCAATTTGTTTATAAACAAAAATAATTTTTTAAGAATCACTTTGTTCTCATTTACTATCGTTAATCTGTCTTACCATGAAATAATGTAGTCAACTAAATTATGTTTTTATACTGAAATATTGAAGGAGGAAAACGTATTTGATAATGTCGGTTCCTACTGAAATGTAACAGAAAAACACGAAGCAAATATGATATGCAATTTATTTCATAACCCATTATACACCATGATGCATTGGACGGAATGTATGTGACAACAGTATAAAGTGTGTTTGTATTATTGTCTATATGTTGTACCATTCTGTGTTTCACAAACAGATCTGATCACAACCAAACATTCTAATCACTTGACCATCTTCAGAATTCAATTTGTTATTGGACTGTCATTTGAAATAGTGGCCATGACTTGAAATATTGAGAGGGGAAAGCTGTAAAAGTCATCGTACAAAAGACCAAGACAAAATTGCAATTGAAAAAGAAGTTATGAACATTAGAGGAAGGTAATCTTTACTATCAGCATCACTCCAGTCAATTTCTGACTGAACTGACTTAATGCAAAGTCAGCAATATTTATTTCGGTCTATCACATTTTTTAGTTGATGTGCCAATCAGTGAGGAATCTTCATTTCACTGCTGAGACTGACTGACTGAGTTTGGTTTTACACCACTTTTAGCAATATTCCAGCAACATCACGGCGGGGGACACCAGGAATGGGCTTCACACATTGTGGGATTCGAACCTGGGTTTCGGCGTGACGAGCCAACGCTTTAACCACTAGGCTACCCTCACTGCTGAGATGACCAGTTAGACTTGTCCAAATGGTCAGTGTACTATTTGCCAATGTCCAGCTTAATTAACTTTTACAGAAGTATTGTAGTTCCGGGTAAATTCAGATTATGCCAAGGAAGAATTCCCCAGAACTTAAAACGGTCAACAGTGTAGGTCCATATTCCAAACATGTCTTGATATGTAGGTCTTCAGTAATCTTGTTCAATTGAAACAGAAACAGCAAGTCGTCAGTGCTCAGGGCTATTCCACATGGTGAGCATCCTCCCTCCATCTCCTTATCAGCCTGGTTCATGGTTCAGTGTTGCTTTGTTTAACAACATGGAGTCAATTCTCCAGACCCAACTGGAGACAATAATCTCAAATATTCACTTTAATGATCAGACAACTTCGTTAATAGATTCGTGTTCTTTCATTTCTTCTTTCTCCACATCTGCGATCATCTCTGATGTGACCTCAGTAAACAGCCGATCCCAGTCCCATGGCCGGTCCTCCTACAACACAAACACAAGATTAACTACATAATAAGGGACCGTTGTCACCTCAGTAAACAGCCGATCCCAGTCCCATGGGCGGTCCTCCTACAACACAAACACAAGGTTAACTACATAATAAGGGACCGTTGTCACCTCAGTAAACAGCCGATCCTAGTCCCATGGCCGGTCCTCCTACAAACACAAACACAAGATTAACTACATAATAAGGGACCGTTCATAATTTATGGCTAAAGTGTGTGAGTGCGTGTGTGATATGATGATGATGATGATGATAATGATGGGGGGTCACCAATTTTGTTCTTGGGAGGTCATCAATTTTGTGCACATGTACTAGAGGGGTGTCATTTACTTTGTTCATAAATTTTAGGGTGGTCAACTGTCCATGAAGAAAATCATCATCACACCCCCTAGCCATAAATTATGAGTGAGTGAGTGCGTTTAGTTTTACGCCACTTTTAGCCATATCACGGTGGGGGACACCAGAAATTGGCTTCACACATTGTACCCATGTGGGAATCGAACCCGGGTCTTCGGCGTGACGAGCGAATGCTTTAACCACTAGACTACCCCACCGCCACCCATAAATTATGAATGGTCCTTAATGTCATAATAACAGTCAATTTGCATGGCGGTTTTCCACACTGAACATAATGATCAATGTGCACAGACAATTATTACCCCAGTCAATGAATCAGTGTGTAATCCAATGTTTCATTCTCAGCTCCCTAGGAAGTATACAGACCAATCTGCCTTAAAATATTGTTAACAATATGCATTCACACACAGCAGGTTGGTTTGGATGCCTAACACGCTACATCTGACACTCACCTCTATCAAGTCTTGTTCTGGTGAAATAGCCTTTGTTAATAACTTGAGATCTATGTCGTCCTGAAACACAAACGAAAAACAACACTACAATATTTCCAACAGATCATATAACATCAGTTGTATGACACAGAATTTCTATAGCATTATAAAAAAATAAGTTTAATAAACTCTACAATGTGCCTTGTTTATAGCTACAGCTGAAGTCATCAAGCATCAAGTTTTACCTTGTACACTGGATGCAAAGTTTGCTCCAGCTTTTTGTTAGATGTTTAGTGTGATTACAGCCTAAGTTTGAAACTGTTTAAATTCAAGTCATACCCCATCATGACAACAGTTCACTATTCATAGCACAAGAAATTCGCATAATGTAGAGTATGTTGTAACATTAGTATCACATTCATAATAAGCATTTGAGTTCAAATGATCACAAAATATTTGCCGTTGTTGTCTTGTCTTTTCATTGTGTTATATTTAAGCAATTTTGTATCCACTATCAATAATCTTTGTGCAATATTTAAAAGAACATGATAATATGTTGTGTTTCCTCAAATATGACCTTGACCTTTGAAATAAATGCATCTGACTTGGTTATGTCAAAAAATGTAAACATAATTCCATGCCTCAGAAACTAGCAATGTTTCATGAAAACCTGAATGCTGCCAGTCGTTCTAAAGATATTCTAAGGGAAAATTTACCAGTTTCCTATATACATGGTCAGCCATGTTAGCTCCATAATAAATGTCCATACCAGTGTAAGGAACGCTGCTTGTCGCAGGAGATCATTGTCCAGCTCCCTGTAAGTGGCCACGCGGTTGACAGCAACACTGTTGGAATCAGTAACACTCAGTGGTCAGATACTGTGCTCAGTTAGAAAGCCCATGTCCACATGGTAAAGTTGAAATACACAATTAGTATATAGTCAGTGCGATATTCTGAAAACAGTCAACTACATACATGTATATAAAAACAGATATTGTTCAGTTATCTTATTTACTGACTTTTCAGAACACAAACTAGTGAGTTCAACATAGAGTAATGATAAATAGTTACTATTTCCCTGACCATATCAGCTAAACTTGATAGATAATATTTTCTTTAGATATGTCTGTCAGCAGGTTTTGAGATCATTACTAATGCTGATGTTTGGTTATGATGTCAGGACCATGTTCCACGTCTTAGAGAATGAAGCACGACTTTGTTAAAGTACAGGAATTAAGATCATCTCAGAGCTAAGACCACTATGTAGAAGAGGGTATGTAGACAACTGACTTGGGAGCTACAGCCACTTTAGTGGTCATGTCCTCCTCCTGCTGGTCCTCCAGCTCCGGAATCACTGGGATGTCTGCAGCAGAGACCACACCATGTACACACATGTAACTCACAACACCAACATCACCTTCTATAAACACTACACAGCCCTGAGATGAGATAATGTTGATCACACCATTTAACCACATTTCATCTCCATCCACATGTCCCAACACCCCACCACCCAAATACAAGCATGAAACACAGAGTCATGAAATAAAGGAATTCATCAAGCATTTCTTCACTTAATATTGACCAACACCTTTTGTGTTAAATATTAGGCAAGAAAACCAAAGGGTCCTTGCAAAACAAAACTCATATTACAAACCTAAGGGAGCCCCAGATTCAGTTACCATGACAACAATGACGACCTCTGATCCAATATAAATTCTAACAACGCATAAGTATTGAGTGTTCAGAGTGTGAAATGAGATAGTATTTAGTGCATACCTTGATCTGAATCAGACTGTTGTTCTGGGCTCCTTGGTCGTAGTCTCTCACTGTAACACAGCAAACATGTACTGACAATATGGACAACTAGGAGCATCAGTGGCCTCTTAGTCTCATGACACTATTCATGCATCATGGCTGAGGTATTATTGTCTTGACAGTGTTGAATGATATGTGTTACCTCAATGTAGTGAGTGAGTGAGTTTAGGTTTATGCCGCACTCAGCAATATTCCAGCTATATGGCGGCGGTCTGTAAATAATCAAGTCTTGACCAAACAATCCAGTGATCAACAACATGAGCATTGATCTACACAATTGGGATACAATGACATGTGTCAACCAAGTCAGCAAGCCTGACCACCCGATCCAGTTAGTCGCCTCTTACGACAAGCATGGGTTACTGAAGATCAATTCTAACCCGGACCTTCACGAGGTCGTTACCTCAATGTAAGTTAGACATACTGAAATAGTCAAAATGATCGATACATACAATTAGCCATACCATTAACACTTCAAAACAATAGTTGCCTCTTCTTTTAACCCAGAGCTCCAGATAAGATTTAGCTCATGTTGGGTACTGTACCCGCTGTATTTTTTTGGAGTGGGTATTATGAATGTTGAGTGGGTATTTCATTTTCCGTTACCCACTGCTTTCAAATATGTGCGTATTTCAGTCATTTTACTCACCTAAGTATTATGTCATTGAGTAAGTTTACTAAGCAGGTATGTTCTGCCTCATGTCATACCTAATCAAAACCAACTTAAATATAATGGAAATGATTTCATAAAAAATCACTCATCCTATACTGACAGTACAACACTTGTCCTATACTAACAGTACAACTTGATAGCAATCGATGTCTTTTTCATTACGCAAGTGATTTTTATAAATATATTCCGTACGCATTTGTTTTAAACTTTTTTCGTATCTAACATTTTAGATGCGTAATTGGTATGCAACAATTATTTTTCAATGCGTAATTGGAAATTTTCTATGCGTATTTTACCCGGATACGCAGCTTATCTGGGCCTCTGTTAACCTTTCAGGTGATACACAGCGGAGTGAGGGAGATTGGTTTTATGCCACTTTTAGCAATAATCCAGCAATATCACTGCAGAGGACAGATGAAATTGGCTTCACACATGGTACCCATGGATGTGAATGAAACCTGGGTCTTAAGGTGTGAAGAACAAATGCTTGAACCACGAGGTTACCCCACTGTTCCTTCACAAGCCACCCAAGGTTGTGGGGAGACAAGAAGTGATTGTTAGTCAACTGAAACAACTGGTTAAACACACGCGGTGGCATTGAAATGTAAACAAAACTTGCGACAAATGTCCCAGAGACACAAAAACATGAAAGACGTAATCATCTTGAATCAAGAAAACAAAACATAGCGACAAAGATATCCATGATATCACTACCAAAACACTTCTAGGCAGAAATAGTACTTTCGGAAACCACAAGACATAAATGCAAAAAATGTAGCTTAGAATAAATGAACATTCATAAATAGTGGAATCTGCACACAAATATCAACATATACTTGTATCCTGAGCTATTTATCTTGTTCAGAGAAAAACCAAAGAGCTAGAAGGAATTATGGATTATCTGTCTGAAGTGAATAAATTGTGTAAGTCCCGATCATTTTGTGAGAGACTTTCAGCATTCATTCATGAGGGACAGTTTTGACTTATTTATTGTATATGTTACTCATTGACATTTTAAAAAAGCATATTATTAGATACGAGTTCTACCATGACTCCAGTAAATACTGGATTCTGATTGGTCAATTAAAGTCATTCAGAGGTGTATAATCGTGTTATATACCTCTGATTTTCTAACACAGCATGTATTTTTTTAAAATCTTAATAATGTGGTTATGGTAGAATGGAGATAAACATACTGTGTTGGTAAATCAGAGGTATATAACGAAATTATAATAGCTCTAAATTTTTTATTATTTGTGAACCTCTCAACCTTCAAGTCAAAAGTTAGTTTAGAGCTATTATAATTTCGTTATATACCTCTGATTTACCAACACAGTATGTTTATCTCCTCTTTTTAACCCTACGGAGAAACTTCACTGAAGGTAGTCTATAGTAGTCATGTAATCAACTTGTGACATCATGAACAACTGATGAGGTCATGTCATTGTTTCCTCAACAATGAAGCACTCTGATGCATTATGGCTTCAACTGATCAATCAGCTAAAATGCACATGTTCAAATATCGAAAAACGATCACTCTCCCTTATGGGTAATATTGTAATAATTATAGAAGTTTATCCAGTCATGCAGCAAGGGTTTGTGTGATGATGTGGTCATGCAAATAAACTGCAAACAAGTGCAAGTGTTGGGGAGTTGAGCCAGGGAGCACTGCCACACTGGGTCAGATATCACAATTACCCAAAGAGACCACTCTGCTCAACATGGTCAAATAGAAGATCGCTGAATGCAAAAGATGGCAAATCATTAGGGCTTCACATTTTAAGGATTCCTTGCATTAATGTGGCAGCATTCAACAAAAACCCAGGCAAAGAGTAGGTATTATGCTCATCAGAACCACCATCATGGAGACCTTGCAGGTTTTCTTCCTTGAAATTGCCCACAAAATAACATAACAAAATACTTTCTTGTTTTTAAAGACAAACACAGCCTTAAACTATTGCTTATTCAAATTAAATATATACTGAAAAAGAAATAATTACTTTGATCCTAAAAATGTCACCAATCAAACCAAAGGGAGGTAACTCTAATCTGAATGTGCCATAACATTTTCTTCATAATACAAATGACAAGTGGTAAAACCTGATTTTTCTGACAGATAATTTATGACTATTGAAACTATGGAGTGTTATGCATGCTATCAGTGTTTAAATTCCTATTGATATCATACAATTACACAACATAAAATTCCTCGATAGGTTGATATACAATTAGACTCCCAGAACAAGCCCTAATAACCTTGACAATCTTTACAAAAGAAATATAAAACAGCCTGGCCCATTCTCCATAACAATTTAATTATAAAAATGTCTGTGTTGATAAACAACAAAAGACACAAATGTCAGTCTTATTTCTCATAACACCTGGAAAGAACAAAGAAAACATGAAAGCATAAATGACATAACATACCATACCAAACAATGCACCATTATAATACCATGCAAAGCATGCATGCAGCAATAGCACTGGGTGACATGTGTAAACAAGTGTGACTATATGTCTACAGCCCCTGTCCTCGGATATATAGTAATATACACCACCATTTGTATAATATGTCAACTTTGTGCTGTGCGTGTCAGAAAAAGCATTGCTTCCTAATTGCAAACCCAGAATTGTCCCACATTTTATAGTTGCCAAAGAATTAAGATGTTAAAACAAGAAATATGCTTATCTTAACAAGACATTTGTATTAGGATGTCATAGTGATATTGGTGCATTATTAATGAGAATGTTTGAACACAAACTTATGATTATCAATACTAAATTGTTTCACTGCCACAGAAACATTAACATTTATTGAGATTACAATGGAAAAGATGCCAGAAAATTAATTCAAATTTAAACACATAATGGATGAGCCTTGTTCATATTCAGCCTTCTTTATGATTAAACTTCAGAGCTGGACCGTGTAGATAGGGGTTGTTTTTTTGCAAAATCTACACATATACAGGAATTCTTTTTGGTTAAATCATTATTCTGATATGTCTTGAAATTGCTTGAAAATGACATATTGATACCAAACTTTCAAATGAGTGACACCCCTAGCTTTGTATTACTGAATACATGGTATATACTCATAAGCAGATGGTGTCTTCCAACAGTGTATATCAGACATGCAAATCAAATTAACAAATGGCATTATAATATTTCTGTGCAATTGTATCATCTTTCACTGAGTGGAACATTCTGAAGCATATTATGTGCATATACTCACTCTTCAAATTGCTCAAATCCCTCTCCCAACTGCCGCGAGCTGATTGGTCACCATCACAACATTTACAGCAAGGGAAGGGTCCATTTTGGGAACGGGGGAGGAAGAAATAACATAACAACAAGCAGTCAGCATAGTCAGTATCTAAAGTCTACACTCTCCAGGTGGAACAACGGTCAAGTGAGGCATTTTCTGATCAGATATAAATCACAAGCAGTTGTTCGGCATTTTACTGATTATGTTGAAAAAAATTACATTATTACAAATGAACCATGTTCTGATCAGATATATATCACAATCAGTTGTTCGGCATTTCAGAAATTTTGTGAATAAACTTTACACTCATACAAATGAACCTTGTTCTTATCAGATATACATCACAATCAGTCAATGAGCATTTCAGAAATTATGTAAAAGACTGACTGAGTTTGGTTTACGCCGCTTTTAGCAATATTCCAGCAACATCACGGCGGGGGACACCAGAAATGGGCTTCACACATTGTACCCATGTGGGGAATCGAACCCAGGTTTTCGGCGTGACGAGCCAACGCTTTAACCACTAGGCTACCCCACTGCCCTTATGTAAAAGAAACACTGAATGTACATTATGTATTATGCAATGCATCTGCTGATTTGTTTTCAATAATGATTTTTTGGAAAATATTTTTTAATGTTTCTTAATAAATAAGCATCACAAGAATTTCTGATTACATCACAGTATATTTCAAAACAGTGATTATATTTTGAGGGTATGTGTAACCTAAACATGATACACCGTTGTGGATCACTTGACCGTTTGAGCTTTGTACCACCTTGAACATGCGTCACCATTACCGCATACAATGCATTTAGTTTCCCGTCACAGACAACATGATTCATCACTGTAATTTCCTCACTCAACAAATATACGTCTAAACACACAATGTAAAGAAATAATAGCTATAAATAACACCTGTATATATATATCTTCATGAAAACGTTTGTGAGTGGGCATGCACAAATGATAATTTTTGGTCGTACAAACAGCTTCTGTGAATGTTGAGGCAACTGTCCTCCTCTCTTTAAGAAAACAAAATATGTCACATAATACAGATCATGAACTCATCGAGAGTGCAGTCAAGCAAATGAGCATGCTTTGGTGTGATCTTTCATCATCATAATCAGAAGAAGACAATACTGGTGACAGTGTGGTGATGTGGTATCTGGGGCCTTGCTGTTCTCAATACAGTACCCCGGTACTCAGAGAGGCAGACATGCAAATACAATAATTTTGAAAATTATAAGACAGAATGTTACTTAAATTCTGAAGTGAAATATTTCCTGATGTTTATGAATCATGCAGATAGTGAGGATGCAAAATTGAAATTTCACAAGTGACATAAAATATATCTTGTGACCAATTTCTGACTAGTGAGTAGAACACTCCACATCAGTGATGAAGCATAATGTCGTGAAAATGGCATTACAATTTTAAAACATGCAAACATACACTCAGCTAGCAACGCTACAATATTCTAAATAATATGATAAAACATGTCCAATGATAAACATGACAACCTTATCAGCTAAGGAAACTTGTTTTAGTGGTATGACCGAAAAGATTCACCAACTGAAAAATTAAGACACACATCTCTAAAATGTCTACCACATTGTTTTTGAATCAGTCTACTGAAGTAGTATAAAATCAGTGTTATTCTTTTAGCAATAATAAATATTTGTATCTGAGTTAGTACAAAAGAAGGATGAAACAATCTAAATAAAATTAGAAAAAATAATCTATTTCAAATATATAAAAACAATTTTCCAGACTGTTGACATGATCACCATCAGACATTAAACATGTTATAAGCATTGTAAGTGTGCGTTGTATTGTACACTGTATCATGAATATGTTTCAGCTATTGCACATGCAGTCATGATAATCAAGATACCAATATGCAAATATAAACTGTCTATGCATCACTCAGTCCAGAATGATATCAATCATAGTATTAAAAATGTCAAAGACCATCATTTCATAGCAGTTATAATATATTATTATTAAAATTATGCAAGGCAATGATCAAATATATTCGGGAATTTGATAATACTGATGAGATAATGGTAAAACTAAATGCATCAATATAACCAAAAGCCTGAATAGATTTCATAACGATGATCATAAACTTATCTTCCAAATATTTTGTTAAGCATGCTATGTAATTCCAGAATAAATTACAACATTCAAAATGTTCAAGATTTTTCAATCTCACTAAAATTTAAAAGAGAATAAGATTAAAAAATAATTGTGCAGGCTTTACAACAATGAAAGCCCATTGCAGCTATAAGTATGTTGCCATGGAAGCAACAAGTACTATACCGGTTTTTTCTAGGTGCCTCTTCTCCCCAGCCAGAAACAGCCTTTGAAGGACGCCCTGGGGGACCATCCTGTGAGACACAAAACAAATCAATCTGAAAACTCTTCTATATGTGGTGGTGTGTGGTCCTGTGCACAGAGCTCAATCAATTGAAGTTAAGCAATGTTGAGTGCAGAGAGTCCTTGGATGGGTGATCGTGTTTGGTTTTTAGGACTTCAGTCCTGCCCCACAAAGAAGCACATGTGATACATGTGGTCTCATATTAAGCAAGTGAGTTTGTTCAAAATTGCCTCTGTTCACCCAGCAGAAAATGGGTACCCGGTGGTCATGTGACTATTAACCTTCTAGGGCTTCACGGGCAGCTTGGGTTATCCGGGGTAATAATAATCAGACTGTGACTGTGCTTTGTGCATGTTTAGGCATGGATATACATGCAATGTACAAATATGCTATTATTTATTATTATCATTACTATTTCAAATCGACTTGCCAAATTTGACAACTGCTGAAAAATTGAGTCCTGACCAGACAAATCAGTGATAAATCCATGCCATTTGAGCGTGTTGACATACTATCAACCAGTCAGGGACCCTGATTTGCCAATAATTTGCCATAATTTGTGATTCTCAACAAGTAATCAACACCCAGTTGATAAACTTCTTGCTGTAATCATTTTCTCCATGTAGCTTGAAACTTGACAAACATTGTACTGAAATTCCTCAAATTAATTATTGTATTGGATGATTTGGTTAAAAGAGATAGTCAACAAATACCCTACCTCACAACCCACTCGCAGGATTGTTAACAGGTTAAAGGGAAACAAAACTCCAACTTTGAAAGAACTGAAATATGCATTGGTTATTTCTTTGAAGAATACAAATTTGCTTCAACTGGACTATAGTTTCGGCAGATTTTACTTGTGTTCAGTGCTATTGTGTGTGCTGTGCAAAGTGACATCTCTCAGAGGATCGAAGAATGAGTAACCGTCTATCATAAGAAAGGATATAAAATTAGGGTGGGGCAAACTGACATGTTTTGGTTGTTGATAAATGCTTACAAGACTTAAAGTGTGATGCTATCAACGAACCTCCTTACTTTGTACAGTAAAAAAACAACACAGTATCCCTTCAGAGATTTCAGGTAAATGAACAGGTAATAACAAACTTGCTTCATAAATTATTAAATCTGAGATCTATTACCACTAGACATCACAATCTATCTTTCATATGGTATTTGCCATTCTGGTAGACATAGTTTTATTCACAGATATAGATAAAAAATAATAGCACTTTGGAATAATTGCTTGCTATTGCCAGATAATTTGTATCTATGGAACAGTTTTGACTGAGGCCATTCAGGCCTCAAGCGTTCCTGCTACAGCCAATGAATGAAACCAGAATGCAAATATCATAATTACAACCAAAATAACTTATAGTTATAACTTTATAACCCCCGTTACCTTGGCTCAGGGGGATCTAATCAAATGGGCCGAAGGACAAAGGGCGAGAAGTGCCAAGTCAAATGGGCCGATGGAAAAAGTCAAATGGGTCATGGTGAAAGTCAAATTGGCCATGAGAAAATGTCAAAAGGGCCTTATTCTTAGTCATATGGGCTGAACAAAAAAAAGTTTACAAATGTTTTTCATTTTTTATTGACATATATAGCATTAAAACCTAATATCATAACAATATCAATAACATCCTCAGCTATGGACCTGGCAGACTTGAACAGGTCTTGTGTTGCAGCTTTTTTCACCTATAACAACAAGGTTAATTGATCTAATCAGGGATAATCAACAGCAGGGATAGGTCACTCGCTTGCTGTCTCTACCATTTGTGCTAATTAGCGTGTGCCTCGTCATGCTCCAACAACCCGTGAAGGTCTGAATGAATGAACCTTCAGTAACCAAGCTTGTCGTAAGAGGCGACTAACGGGATCGGGTGGTCTGAGGCTCGCTGGCTTGGTTGACATATGTCATGGTTCCCAATTGCGCAGATCAATGCTCATGCTGTTGATCACTGGATTGTCTGGTCCAGAATTGACCCACTCGGCTCATTTGACTACAACCCGGATCAGGGATATATCTCTCAATGCTACCATTAGGAACACTGCATTGTTGCTGATATAGCATTTGGATTACCTTGCTTGAAGGAGGTTGTGATACAGGGACATCTTCTTCTGCTCCATCATCTTCAACAGCAGGAGCACTGCGTTGTGCTCTACGACCTTGCTTTGCACTCTGAAATAATGTATTGTTGGATTATAGGTTTTTTGTCTGGAAGTTAATTTGCGCTATGACTGGATGTGTTGTATCAGACAGACATTGAAAATACTCGGAAGATGGCCATAGTGATGTATTGTTGGATAATATTTTTTGGTCTGAAGTTAATTCGCGCTATGGCTGGATGTGTTGTAACAGACAGACATTGAAAATACTCGGATGATGGTTTGTGTATAAGATAATGATGCTTTTGAAAGTTAATAACATGTTTCATAGTTGCTCATGTGGTTGGCAAGAAAACAAATGATGTTCATATCCGAAAACCCATAACACCCTGATAACTTAATTGACAGCTGATACATTTCCAAATTTGCCAGCCCAGAAACGTTGCTGTGCCAACAAATACTACCTAGATTGGCTGGGTGTTTTCTTTGTCAATACAAAGGATATGGAAAGAAATCTTATTCATCATTTATATAATGTTTGTCTGATAATCAGAGTGCTTGCTGATCATCTTTTACGGCGTCGTTTACGGGATGCGAAAGACATAAACTGATAAATCTGAGAACATGGTGTTGTCATGGCAAATTTAACCTTATGAAACTATATTATCTCTAAATGTCATAATCGTGATCTAATCATGTAAATGCATTTACCCTTGACTTAGGAGTGGGTTGGAAATCAAGATCTTCGTCGTCCATCTCGCTTGTAAACAAACTGTGTGCGTTTCCCTGGAATGCGGGAGGGTTTAATATATTGATTACAACGTGATTCCGCAAACGTGTTACAGAAAATATATTCTACCTAAGACATTTCTAGAACACGTACTAGCATTTATAATCATATTTTAATAAGATGGGTGCTCCAAAATTTAAAATACAATGAAAAAACAAAACAAAACAGAAATATACAACGATAGATCCCTACCAAGAACTCTTTCGACATGAAGTTATGATAAAACTTAGACTAGTTCCACTAATTGTTCGCGCATAAAGCTTACTGCGTTTAGCTTTTGACTGGTTTCTGGATCCTCCGCTCAGTGGCTCGCGCTTAGATAAACTGGTTCCCAGCTCATTTGCGCGTCGTATACTTGCGCCAAGCTATATTGTGATGTGGGAGACGGGGCCCAGCTTATCATTTAGATAGACAGGAACCCAGTCGACGATGCGACAAGAGACATGACCCCAGTTTGACCAGCTGAAAAAAAGCGAAAAAGCACGATGCGGTTGCTGAAACTTGTTCAAAATCAGAGCGTTGCCTCCCGATTACGCAGTTATGCGTTGTTTTGCAGGATAGACATTAAACGACAATTTTTGTCAATATCATGTTTAGGAAATCACATCCAAAGATGTCACACGCGTCTGATGTTCAACAGTTTACAAAAGTTCGGTGGAAAATTTGACTTTCTACCCAAGACCTTACCAAGGACGATCATATCGAGACACAAGTCGTACAAAGCAAAACCAAAGTCCCAATTACCCTACGAAATCGATACCAATGTGTCGAAAGATGTGCTTGTGTATTCATTCAGTGGAAGTCGCTTCTACAAGTTAATCACATTGTTTGGTGCCTCTCAGTTCATATTTTGGATGTATTTGTCAATATTTTCATTCAGCAGCTTGAAAGACATTTCACAAGAAGATGAGGACAAACAGTTAGGCATTAAACGAGAAGATAGTCTGGTTTTTTAAGATACTGATGCCGATTAAAGGCTCTTACAAAACAGGACTTGGCCTCCTCTTCCTGAGCGTAGGTGTGTATTCAGATCAATTAACTACCTGCCGCTAGTGGGTTCAGATCTCAGTATTGGCCTGTTTATGGTCCTTAGTTTGTCGGTACCATAACAGTACTTGTGAGTTTATGTCAAGTATAAACTGTACCATGATTTGCTGGAAACACTGACATTCAGTGAAGCTGAAGGGGTCGTTGTCGGCACGGGTACTACAGATATGTACCCCAGGCCATAATGAGAATACAGAAACATACCCTAGGACGATTCCATTCCCATTGTGTCGTATTCTTGACCGGAACTGTCATACTGTTGTATCAGATACATTTGATTGCGTTATGTAAGTAATGAGAATACACAGTAACGGACATTTCGGGATGCACATGGATACCACTTGGAATCAGTTGAATGGGAACAACTACATACAGTTTCGGTTTTGGGTTACGGAATATGGACTTGTCCGCCTTTTAAGGTACCGGGTATGTTTCTGTATTTTGACTTTGTTTAGGGTACATACCTGTAAACAGAAACATACCTGGGGTACGTATCTGTAGTACCTGTGCCAACAACGACCCCTTCAGCTTCAGTGAAAGTGGATTAAGAGCTGAATACCAAATCTATTCACTTGATGTACAGTAAATTATGTTTATAATCAACACACCTATATCACACTGAAGGATATGACCATGACAAACCTTTTTGGGTGTCATGGACACTTGGTATTAGAGCAAATGCATATATAACAACTAAAATATGTATGATATGTTGTTTTGTATCTTATATGTATGTGAATGTTCTTATTAGTCTTTATCCTGCAATGAACACTCTGATTCTAACACCGCCTCCGTGGTGTAGTGGTTAGAGCGTCCGCCCGGAGAGCGGAAGGTCGCGGGTTCAATCCCCGACTGCGTCATACCAAAAAGACGTTAAAATATGGTACTTGTTGGTCCCTGCCTGGCGCTCAGCATTAATGGGTACAACAAGGACTGGTCGGTTTGGAGTCAGCATAATGTGTCTGAGTGGGGTATTCATGCTTCACTGCGGCATGGTATCTCAGTGGGCTAGCACTATAAAACCAGCTTAAGTCTGGGCTAGTACAAGCAGCCGCACATACACATACACACGCATGCACATCGTCATATGGGCGAAATATTCTCAAGCATGACGTAAAACCCAATTTCACCTCACCTCACCTCTGATTCTAACACAGTGTTCCAGAAATACTGAAGTGAGCTACAGACCCTTCTGAAGTTTTGTGTTAAAGATTAAGCATTTAATAAACTTCTGTTAATAGATAAAGTTGTTGTTTTTTTCAGGCTCAATGGTGCTGTTCATCTGTTGGATCTACCCACAGCGTGCTGTTAACAAGCTGTGGCTGTTGAAGGGAGGTCAAGGAGTTCAGATATCCACTTACTCCTGGTTTGGTAAAACACGCTCTTTCTCAGCTCCGCTAAACCATCTTTCCTGCCTACAGTCACGAACAAGCTCTTCTTCACAGATTTCGATGAAGGTGAAACACAGATGGTTCCATTTTCTCTTGGACAAACAAGGAATCTTTCACAACACAGAGCTGTTTGATTATGCTGTTGGACTTCAGAGGAATCTAAAAAAATAATATACAAACTGTTGACTGTTAATGTATGAGGTACATGTAATAAATTTGGTGTGTGTGTGTGTACCTTTCTGTGTGTTCATTTTGATTCTGGGTACCCAAAGACCAAGTTCAGGTAAATAAAGTACTGAACATGCTGAATATGACCACAATTTACAGTAAAGTAATTTTTGTTGTGAAGTTCACATATTGTAAAGTAAGTATTAAGCATGGACTTCACTGGCTGTAAAGTAAATGTTTTTATGATGTGAACTCAGTAACTGACCTAGACTAACATTTAGTCTCTGAAATGAACATATTTTACAGAAAAAAAGTTCCTAAATTATAATCATTAAATATAATGTAAAGGAGATGACAAGACTTTATGGATGATCAACTTCTTTATTTTGACAATGACGTTTCGCAAAATAAATAAAGTTGATCATCCATGAACATGATAGTTTTGTCATCTCTATACCACCAACTTCTAGAATGTCACTCAAACAAATAATAAAATAGGAGTCCAGAGACTTTCTTCATTTCCTGAAACACTGGAAATCTAGACTTGCCACATAATCTAGACTTGCTTGGACTTTCTTGAATATATTTGTTTCAGGGTCTGTATGACAGACTATAACTGGCCATACTAATTACCTTCAGAACATATTTAAGAATCATATTAAAGATTTTGCATTGGTGTCCATGCATGTTATAAGAAACACTCTTATTAGGAACTGATGTATATAATACACAATATTTTTAAAATGTGTATAATGAACTATGGTTGTAATTAACTACATAAAATTGTGGTCCCTTTGGGTTTTGTTATAATCATAGTTGACTATCAAATTTCAGAAATGACCACACCATACCAGTGGCCAATAAGAGGTGGGAAAAAGTGGCATGATGTCCTGACCCGTGAAGATCTGGGTCTTCAGTAACCCATGCTTGTCGTAAGAGGCGACTAGCGGGATCGAGTTGTCAGGCTCGCTGATTTGGTTGACACATGTCATCGTATCCCAATTGTGCAGATCAATGCTCATACTGTTGATCACTGGATAGTCTGGTCCAGACACGATTATTTGCAGACCACCGCCATATAGCTGGAATATTGCTGAGTGCAGCGTAATCCTAAACTCTCTCACTCACTCAGTCACTCATGATGTCCTGTCAGTCAGAATGATATCCCAGTGAAGTTATGGAATAATATCCCATTTAGTATACACTTTATTAGCAGTTGTAGTCACTGGATCTTGAGTAACATGATTCAAACAAAGCAATGGTGGTCTCACAGTTTAGCTTGATCAGTGTATGGTGGTTGACCTAGATGCAAGATATATGCTCAAGGTAGTATCCCCCCCCTTTAAAATTCCTGGATCAGTCGATGTTGATGGAGCAACATGCATTAACTAGGTCACTAGAAATAAGAAAAATTGTGTCAGGGAGATACTTTGGCTTTCAGAGACAGTTGATCCTGTCATCCTGTATATGTGTTGCAACTAGGAAGTTAATTTCTGATAAGTACATTGCTGGGATAGTGCAGTGTTCAAAGGTGTTGCAATGCGCTATGCAGAGTTACAGCTCTTAGCTATGATAGGATCTGCTGATAGGGGCAATAATCGTATGATCAGTGGTCTGTTATCTCCCTTTTCACGTGGTTTCTCATGTTTGGCTATTTCACACAATATGTACACCCTGAAGTACTGAAATAGTGTTCATTGTACATTTACTCTCAAATTATCACAGGTGGACTGTTATAGTATGACCAGAAATTATAGGGAATTTTAGGAATCTGTTTACTTGGATTTCTATTCTAAACAACCTTGACCAGCTATCAAGTGCTTGGTTTCATTCAAGAGAGACAACTCCGTTAATCTTTTTTCATTAGTTTGTGAAGAGTTATCCCTCTGTTTACTTGCTAGCAGTCGACATTTTCATTGATCCTCAGTAAGGATGATTTAGAGAAGAGGAAGTTGATTTTAGAGTATTATAACAAGGACATCAGATCAGCTAAAGTGATTTCAAGTAGAACAGGCATCCCTTTGTCCACTGTGTATCGTGTTTTGAAAAAATATTGCAAATGGATATGGCATTGAGCACCATGGAGGCGCAGGTAGGCCCAGAAAATTGACTGTCAGTGACAGGAGGCGGCTTGGTATTCTTGTTTCTAAAAACAAACGAAGGAGTTTAGTAAACCTAAGGCTGGATATGATTGATAGAGGAACTGTGGCTGTCTGTAAGGAGACAATTAGAACTGAGCTGCATGCAATGGGTGGCAGAAAAGTCGAGGAATTCCATCATCGATCATGAAACCTGAACAAAAGGAGCGAAGGTTGAACTGGTGCTTACAGCATAGAAATTGTAACTGGGACAATGTGATTTCTCAGATGAAATTTCTGTGTGGCTGTTTCCTAATATACTGAAATTCTGGATCAAACTGAAAAACCTTTTATCAGCGCCCAAAGTACAGTCCGATATTTAACGTGTGGGGTGGCATATCTGTGTTAGGGGCAACGCCCCTCTGTGTATTTGAAGGGAATATGAACAGTGAGCGGTACACAGATATTCTCAAGGGGACATTTACTTCCATCTGCTCACGTGTTCTATGGAAAGTTTTGGATTTTCCAGCAGGACAACGACCCAAAACATCGTTCAAAGCATTTAAAGGCCTGGTTTAGGACCCAAAATATGACATTATTAGATTGACCAAGCTATAGCCCTGACCTAAATCCAATAGAAAATGTTTGGGGACTTATGAAGGAAAGTGTCAATAAGAAAAATCTGACAAATATTGCTGAAATGAAAGAAGAGGTGGTCCGATATTGGGACAGCATGGACCACAACTTTCTAACTTCTTTGATCAGTAGTATGCCCCGCCGCATTGAAACCTGCATTGTTGCCTATGGTGACTTGACAAAATACTAACTGTTCACCTGTCTTTGAATCTGGAGTTATGTTCTGCTAATATTCACATTTAATACGTGAGTAATGAGTGAATTTTTTTTTGAAAAGTACAATCTTTAAATTCTCAATAATTTCTGGTTGTACTGTACCTAAAACATTCAGTGGATGACCCTAAAAACACCAACCTTTCCTGGTTAATAACGAGCTTAAATGTTTATTCTCAAAGCACGAGTCTACACTATACTGAACACATGCATCTTTCCGAATATCTAGGGCCCAGTTTAACGAAGCACTCTTACCTACGACAATAAATTTGACGGTCAGTAAAATCATGGGAGTTGCGATACGTTTTACGGAAGGATCTAAGGGTAAAAACGTAATGCAAATCTTTAGGATATACTATATCATTCAGTCTCGCACGATCACTGAATGCACTGTACCTATGAAGGTCACCTCCATTGTCTAGTGAATGCCCGGAGAATATATAATCTGCGGTTCGATCTCTAGCCGTCTAACAACAAAATACACTTAATACAAATCCGGCGAAATGTTCATATGTGGTAACGGACAAGTTAATCTCCAAAATTCTCACAAAAACCTTTTTTATTAATAATGCTAAACAAAGTGGAGTATTGACTAGCACATTTCCAAGGTGTGGACCATCTTTTATCGTTCTAGAAAATGGGAGCACCCTACAGTGATGCCCAGACCTCATGAATAGTATCGTGAATCTGGGGCTACCATCTCATTTCTTTGACTGTGTCCCTGCATTAAATGTAATACCACACAAAGGCCATTATGGAACCCTCCAGAATTCAGTTGCATCTTCTAAACGTTCGCGTCGCCGTCTGTAAATTAGGAGGAGAGTTAGAATCTGCTTTTTGTAAAGAACAGAAATGACGACGGATGCCGTTGATTGCATATGTTGATTACGTCGGTACAACAGAAAACGTACTTTCTATGACGTGGTGTCACTGGTGGACGAACTGCTTGACGACCAAAACAGGCACCATCACAAGACAGCCGACAGCTATATCTATTGCAAGTGTACCTACCAGTACACCATTCTTCCAGATGTCACAACAAGGCCTCAGTCTAAATTTATGGAGGACATTTCGAAATTTGAAGCATCAGCGACAAAAATGATATCAGTCCTTATTTTGACTGGTATTTTTCCTTATGGACACTGGTTCTAATAGAGAGACCATAGAAATTTGACGGAAATAAGTATTTTTTAAATATTTTTAAAAAATTCATCTCTTAGTCTGCAACAGCCTTCTTCCTAACTATAACACACGGGGCGTTGGGGTAGCCTAGTGGTTAAAGCGTTCGCTCATCGCGCCGAAGACCTGGGTTCGATTCCCCACACGGGTACAATGTGTGAAGCCCATTTCTGGCGTCCCCCGTCATGATATTGCTGAAATATATTGCTAAAAGCGGCGTAAAACCATACTCACTCATTCACTCTTCCTAACAAACAGAGCTCTACATTCAGTAAGCGAAATATAGCATCACCACTGGCGAAATACAGCAACAACACTGGCGAAATACAGCACCAACACTGATTGACCGTCAGCTTCGAACAGTTTAGTTGTCATTTTAACTGTTGTGGCCATCTTACACTTATTACAGACTGGTGTGGAAATAAATCATGTCAATGAATATTTAAGAAAAATCCGTAGCACAAAAAGACGATGAAATGTAAGTTATAAGGAAATCGACAGACACTTTGATTTTATGGTAAAGCAGGATAAGAAAGTTATCTTTCAAAAAGATGCTTTGCATTGTCCTTAACCGGAAAATGTATAACTCAAGAGTGAAATGAATCCAAGGCTTCTTGAGATGGTGACCTAATAGTTGTAGTGTATGATGAAGTAGGCCTGGGTCCAATCTTTGAATTTGCTGGAACATTGCTAACAGCGACGTAATATACTCAATCACTCACAGAACTAGTGTTAAATATTATACCGTACTGGATACTGCATCTATCTTACTATAACCTGCATACTTTGTATGTAACTCGGTGTAACATTATGTCGTCTGCAAAGTCAACGCCCAGTAAGGCGTGAGGTCTACCACAGAATTAAAATAGAGCAGGTGCGCGTTTTGGGATAACGACGGAGTTACCTCCCTTGAAATTCTCATGATTTGAAGATTCTGTTTGTTGAACTTGGAGACGAGTGAGTTGTTTACGAATCTCGACAAGGGAAGGACGATGGGCACCAACGGAACTGTGATACCTACCACAAACACATCTGCAGCCAAACACCGGTGGAAAATACTCGCAAGAGTGAGACAGTGTTTTATTGTTTCCAAATGCCTTTTTTTGCATAAATCCAACACGTTTTCACTAGTAGCCACAATTTACTTATCTTGAACCGTTTACTGACTTGAGTAAAACTACTGCCAGTTGAACAGCACACAATCGCGATATTTTGCTGAATTCCAGAAATATAGGAAATAAAGGGAAAAACTATATTCCAAATGTCATTTCATATGTATAGTTCCTGCAGATGCGTGTGATATTGTTTATGCCATTTTTCCCACATGATTATTTGGTGATTAGTTTCCGGAAAACTATGTGGTAGGACATTTGCTCATTGGTACTTGGGTCAGATGGTCCACAGTTGGACCTGGGTACCAACATGACATCCCTGACCAGTTATTATTAATGTGATCTATTGTTCAGTGACAATATTAGTATAACTCTATACTTTAATGGGAAAGATTTCCACCCGTAACTCCTCTATTTGTAAATCATTCTATGCCTAAGAATATAGGCCTATGGTTTTTGTAAAAAGCCTAAGCCTAAACCCTAAACCCTAACCCCTCGAAATAATCGTAATAAATAAAATACATTTCAAGTGGGGGTTATGGGTGGAACACTTACCCTTTTATGTGTTGGTTGTTTATGTGTTCAGGTATCTTTTGGAATATTGATCAACCTCTGGTAACATCATGTGTAATTTTGTTACCTTGATCCAGGCTCTGGTTGGTGACCGATCAAGTGACCCAGATGACCGGATATTCTCAGTACGAAGGTTCCAGTGCTTCGGCCTGTTCCAGTCCAAAGTTGTTGAAGACAGGAGTTCTGATGCTGACTGGTTCACGTACACATCTCATGATTTTGAAAAACTAAACTTAATCATCAGGTAAATTGTGTCATGTCATCACTGTTTGCCGCCCATTTCTGGTGTCCCCTGCCGTGATATTGCTGGAATATTGCTAAAAGCGGCATAAAACCACACTCACTCACTGTTTGTCGCTTGCTTCCAAAACTTGACTGTACACAGAGTAGCAGAGCACTCCAATAGTAAGAGCACAGTCAGAGCAAACTGGACCGCATCCGTGGTGTAGTGGTTAGAGCGTCCGCCCGGAGAGCGGAAGGTCGCGGGTTCGATCCCCGATCGCCTCATACCAAAAGACATTAAAATATGTTACTTGTTGGTCCCTGCCTGGCGCTCGGCATTAATGGGTACAAGAAGGACTGGTCGGCTCGGAGTCAGTATAATGTGTCTGAGTGGGGTATTCATGCTTCACTGCGGCATGGTATCTCAGTGAGCTAGCACTATAAAACCAGCATAAGTCTGGGCTAGTACAATCAGCCGCACATACACATTCACACGCATGCACGTCGTCATATGAGCGAAATATTCTCAAGCACGACGTTAAACCCAATTTCACCTCACCTCAGAGCAAACTGGGATTTGAACCCACAGTCTTAGGTGTCTGGTGTGCCTAAGGGATGTAACTCTGCATAATGTATGAATTGGCCACTTGTGCCCCAAAATTAGCTGGAATGTTGCCGAAAATTGGAATATTTTGGTATGAAATAAAATTTGTTTATCAACCCAGATTGTTTAGTATGATCATTCAGCTACAATTTTATAGTGATATTTTTAATTTTGCCTGGAGACGCAAAAGTGATTTTCATAATATGTCAATTGTATATTTAGATAGATTGACACATAGGTTTATTCATATCAAGAGTTGAGTAGTATAAATGAAAGGTTTTGTGGATTCCAATTTAATGACAAAAGACTCTTTCTTCAGACAACTGCGAGCTGAGAGTACGGTGAAGCTAGATTCTCTTCTTGGATTTAACAACACAGGCAATATATGTAAGTTGTCATTCAGAAAGCACATAATACAGTCTCATTCTTCATTTTTGTTCACAGATATATATTACTTGGTCATTAAATACAGTAGATCAATTCAAACATTGAAAACATTTGTTAATATTTTATCAGCTTTTGGGGACTAATATTTTGCTAATATTTTGGAAAACCTAAATTGAACTTGAAAATAGATAGACCCAGCTAAGTCACAGGTGACAAAATGAAAAGGTGACATTTAGTTTGGATTTTTTGTTCTGTTGATCTTAGAAAACAATTAATAAAAAATATATTACATAGGCAGATCCAGAGGGGGCTGCAGGGGTTCGCACCCCACCCCCCAATCCCCTTTGTCCGTAAAGTTTATTGAATGACCATTGAAACTCACGTGAAGTGTGCACCCCCACTTTCTCAAAAAGCTGTATCCGCCCCTGTATTATATAACTAAATGAAACAGTGATTATTTTACTGTCTATGGTACATTTCCCCACCCAACCCCCATAACCCCTGCCTCCACACCCCAAAGGCCTTTCTTAAAGATTAGCCTCTTATTGCCAATATGTGAGTTGTAACTGTTTGTTCTTTGATAGGTATCTGGCCTTCTGAAGAAGTTATGACACATCACTGTCTCAAGGATGTAAACTGGTTTAGGTAAGAGATATCCCCCAGGTTAGAACTCATTATGTACTACTGGCAAACGAGGATACGTTGAGCACCGACCTGACAATTGACCTGTGTTAGCATGTATGAGTGCCGCATACTGGCGCTTGCCATTGTTAGCGAAGGGGACGCAGGTTGTCTGCGATCAAGTTTAGTGCGGCTTGCTACACCGACGTGAGAGTCTTATGAGCAAGGCGTGTGCAGCTATGCGCAGAATCAATTTCATCGTCATGCAATGCACCTGCACTAGACTACCTCTGCTCTACATTTTCACAAACCAAATTGGTTTGCTTGTAAGCGCATTCTCTGCTTCGGTCCAACTTATCCTTGTTTGTCAGTAGGACACTTTTGATAGTGATGTTTGTATCTTGCATTGATAGCCCAAACTGATTGTCATCCGATGTAAAGTATATATTTAGATAGAATTACATAACTTGTTTTTCCTATCTTATGTTGAGTATTATATGATTATATAGACAGGTACATGATCAACATGAATTAATTAAGGAAAAATGGCTGAAATAGACAGAAAGTAAGTAGCATTTGTCTTCCTTTTGTTGAGTTGCTGAAGTTTTGCTGATGTGGCATAATTTGGTTATTCCTGTTCCAGGAATAAAAGTGTTATAGAACTCGGAGGAGGGATGACATGCCTGGCAGGTATGGCTGTAAGTAGAATCTCAGATATGGCAAACAAGTTTATGCCCGTGTTGACCTTTTTAATATTTCAACATTGCTATGTCAGTGTTTAAAACTTCATACTTCACTGACACTGAAATGCCTCAGATGTAGGAGATGAGGAGATTCATGTATACATGATACAGAGACTTATATTGACATGTGTTTAATTGCAGGTGGCTGCTTGCACTGAAGCGTCTTGTGTTGTGCTCACGGATGGTAATGGAGACTCGGTTACAAGTGAGTTGAACTTAGTTTTGTTTGTTTCTCTGTTTGTTGTTTAACGCCGCACTCAGCAATATTCCAGCTATATGGCATCGGTCTGTAAATAACTGAGTTTGGACCAGACACTCCAGTGATCAACAGCATGAGCATTGATCATTGTGTCAACCAAGTCAGCGAGCCTGACCACCCAATCCTGTTAGTTGCCTTTTTATGACACGCATGGGTTGCTGAAGACCAATCCTAACCCGGATCTTCACGGGTCTCTACTTACTGCACTACTTACTATATTTTAGATATAAATAGTCTTCTTACGTATCTTCATTTTGTTTAAAGTAGAAGTATTTGCTTGGAATGAATTCCAACTGTAATTTATTGAGAATACATATGTGCCACATCAAGATATATAATTATGTATATGGATGGTTCAGCAACTAAATATACCTCGAGGCAAAAATGTAATCATGTGTTTTGAAGCACCTAACATCAAGTACACTGTTAAGGTCTTAAGGTGGGTCCCTTTTGCTTTTGAAGAGTGCAGTGTTAAACCATTGCATTTAACATTCAAAGCCAAATGGGCAATTTATGACTGTCATGATCAATAAACTTGATAACCTGACAAGATCATAGTTGGTTTTGTTGAAGAGGTAGTCTTATATTTTTTTATACTTTGTGCTACATTTTGAGAAAGATTTTTCTCTTATTCCTTAATCTATGAAAAGTATTAGTTCTAGTTTAAGTGTTGTCACAAGTCTTTAGTTTCATTATTTTGCTGTGTCCCTATGGTAAGTTTATTTTCCTTTCGGTTTAGATCTAGACTTGATGATCAGTGAGAACAAGGACAGCTTTGGTACCACGACCGTGTCTTCCAGGTACTGTGGCCATTATGACAGGTTACATTCATCATTGCAGTTGTCATGGCAACTAAGTCCATCAGTAAAGCTGGCATGACAGGTTAAGTCCATTAGTGCAGCTGTCATGGCATCAGTGTCCATTAGTGCAGCTGTCATGGCAACTGGGTCCATTAGTGCAGCTGTCATGGCAACTGTGTCCATTAGTGCAGCCGTCATGACAACTGTGTCCATTAGTGCAGCTGTCATGGCAACTGGGTCCATTGGTGCAGCTGTCATGACAACTGGGTCCATTAGTGCAGCTGTCATGACAACTGGGTCCATTAGTGCAGCTGCCATGGCAACTGGGTCCATTAGTGCAGCTGTCATGTCAACTGGGTCCATTAGTGCAGTAAGTGTGGACTTACACATTTTATGCCTACTGCATTTTTGTGTATTTCATCCTGTCTTATTGATTCTCTCACTGAAACACACTGTGGATTCAAGCTGTCTTGAAATTAACAGTTGTTGATATTATTAGAATGAACAAGGAATGTTTGGTCTGCATTGATGTTGTGATTAGAAGACCACATTAAGAATTGTTTGGTGGTGCGTTAAGCTCAGGACAATATTGTTCGTCTTGTTTTGTTGTATCCATGGCAAACTTCTTACTTCCATAATGGTTTATCCAGGTTACTCCGCTGGGGCCCAGACGAGGCAGCTAAAGATCTGGAGGACAGATTCGACTGTGTACTTTGTGCTGACTGGTAAGGGTGTTGATATATCAAGCCATAAAATAGGTCCATTACAAAGCAATTACTTCAGATTTGAAATTAGGCCACATCATACATTTTATGTTTGTGACCACAATCATGTCAACACCATGGCTGATTTTATCATTGGTGCCAGCTAGGTTGAAAACAGTGCCTTACTTGCCTGTGACTGGTCTAGTGGAGAGAGTATCCGCCAGGATGGTGGGTGTCAAGGGTTTAATGCCTGGCCATCTGATACGGAAGATGTTATAAGGTGGGTGTCAAGGGTGTAATCCCTGGTCATCTGATACAGAAGATGTTATAAGGTGGGTGTCAAGGGTTTAATCCCTGGTCATCTGATACAGAAGATGTTATAAGGTGGGTGTCAAGGGTTTAATCCCTGGTCATCTGATACGAAAGATGTGATAAGGTGGGTGTCAAGGGTTTAATCCCTGGCCATCTGATACGGAAGATGTTATAAGGTGGGTGTCAAGAGTTTAATCCCTGGCCATCTGATACAAAGATGTTATAAGGTGGGTGTCAAGGGTTTAATCCCTGGTCATCTGATACGGAAGATGTGATAAGGTGGGTGTCAAGGGTTTAATCCCTGGCCATCTGATAATCGAGGAAGATGTTATAAGGTGGGTGTCAAGAGTTTAATCCTGGCCATCTGATACAAAGATGTTATAAGGTGGGTGTCAAGGGTTTAATCCTGGTCATCTGATACGGAAGATGTTATAAGGTGGGTGTCAAGGGTTTAATCCCTGGTCATCTGATCGAGGAAGATGTTATAAGGTGGGTTGTCATAAGGGGTTTAATCCCTGGCTCTGATACAATCTGGAAAGATGTTATAAGGTGGGTGTCAAAATGTTAGATGTTATAAGGTGGGTGTCAAGGGTTTAATCCCTGGTCATCTGATACTGAAAAGATGTTATAAGGTGGGTGTCAAGGGTTTAATCCCTGGCCATCTGATCCCTGGTCACTGAAGAAGATGTTATAAGGTGGGTGTCAAGGGTTTAATCCCTGGTCATCTGATCTGAAAAGATGTTATAAGGTGGGTGTCAAGGGTTTAATCCCTGGTCATCTGATCATCTGGAAGATGTTATAAGGTGGGTGTCAAGGGTTTAATCCCTGGCCATCTGATACGGAAGATGTGATAAGGTGGGTGTCAAGGGTTTAATCCCTGGTCATCTGATACGGAAGATGTTATAAGGTGGGTGTCAAGGGTTTAATCCCTGGTCATCTGATACGGAAGATGTTATAAGGTGGGTGTCAAGGGTGTAATTCCTGGCCATCTGATACGGAAGATGTGATAAGGTGGGTGTCAAGGGTTTAATCCTGGTCATCTGATAAGATGGAAGATGTTATAAGGTGGGTGTCAAGGGTTTTAATCCTGGTCATCTGATACGGAAGATGTTATAAGGTGGGTGTCGAGGGTTTAATCCCTGGTCATCTGATACGGAAGATGTTATAAGGTGGGTGTCGAGGGTTTAATCCCTGGTCATCTGATACGGAAGATGTTATAAGGTGGGTGTCTAGGGTTTAATCCCTGGTCATCTGATACGGAAGATGTTATAAGGTGGGTGTCAAGGGTTTAATCCCTGGTCATCTGATAAGGAAGATGTTATAAGGTGGGTGTCAAGGGTTTAATCCCTGGCCATCTGATAGCGAAGATGTTATAAGGTGGTACTTGTTGTATCACTGCCTGGTGCTCAACATTAAGTGGAATAAACAACGCCAGGTCAGCTTTGAGTCAGTATACTACATCTGAGATGGGTATGCATGCTGCATGGTATCTCAGTAGCACCTCACTTCATCTTCTTCACATGCAAGCAGGTGAAGGGAAGAACATCTGACAAAAGGACTTTATAAAAAACAACATGCTTACAGTACATGTTATATCTTGTGTCTTGTTTACATTTTCACTGTTACCATATTTATGTATGCTCATCTGTGAAACAATCTAGAAGTTTTATCAGATAAATTACAAGATTCCTGATGAGAAGCTATTTATAAGCAAATTTTAGGGTGAAGTTTTGGGGCTTCTTTGCAAAACATCCAATTTCCATTCTTTTTCAGTTTTTTCTTTGACGAGGGTCGCAGTGACCTTGTTGGTCTGGTGTATTCCTTGCTCCGCCCTGGGGGTCAGGCTGTGATGTTTGCTCCTCACAGGGGACCAACGTTACAGGCATTTGTTGATCTTGCCTCGGACAAGTTTGATATCACAGTTGCAGATAATTACGATGACAAAATCTGGCAGTTACATCAACAGGTAACCTTGTAACTATGTGTCAAAATAATGCATAATAATCCTTGGATTTGTTATTTGTTTTAAATCTCAGATGTCGTCTTCATCAGTTATAATGTCAGTGAATATTCTATTGCATGTTTCTACAATGTGAAAGGACATCAGTGATGTTCAGGTATGTCTATCAAAAGAATATTTTTAGTTTAAGTTTTATGTTTTATGAGAGCATTAGAGAGTGATTAAGTGAGTTCATTATTTGCCAGTTTTAGCAATATTCAAGGGAGAACATTAATGTCTCAAGTACTGTGATAAGTGAAGAGCTGATGCAGATTGATGATGCAAGTAAGCATGGAAATCACTTTACAATGATGCCCTGTTAATCTGTACTGATCTGTATTAACAGTTATTGTGTAAATGCTTGCCACATCATTCATGAGATGCTCCCCTTCATGCTATGAAGTCTCGTGAGATTATTGTGAATTTCATGAGACTTGTACCTGTAATAAATAAAATAGTGACGTGTGTGTCTATTGAGCTAGTTTTGCTTGAATCTCCAAATTTAAGTTTATATATATTTTGGAGTGGATTATAATACTTTGTCCTGAAATATTGATCAGATAAACAAATTTCCCAGATTAAAGAAACATTGAAACTATGAAGTACACCTTTGTATGATACACATACTTGCAATTGTTCAGAAGCTTCAGTTCCAGACTACTTAGGTAAGATTTGCTGGTTTACAGTGCATCTTGACACAACCATAGAATGAAAGAAAGATTTGTTGCAGATGAAACTGAAAGGCCATGGAGAATACGACGAGAACCTGCACTACCCAGTGTCTGTATTACTGAAGAAGACTGGATCTTCCTGATGTTGACTGATGTGCAACCACAGACTTACCTCCCCTGTCTGAATAACTTACACTTGCCAGTATCAGTGTGGCTGGAGAAAACTGGATCATATTTCATGGTCTCATGTGCAACCACAGACTTACCTCCCCTGTCTGAATAACTTACACTTGCCAGTATCAGTGTGGCTGGAGAAAACTGGATCATATTTCATGGTCTCATGTGCAACCACAGACTTACCTCCCCTGTCTGTAGACTTACACTTACCAGTATCAGTGTGGCTGGAGAAAACTGGATCATATTTCATGGTCTCGTGTGTAACCACATACTAACCTCCCCTGTCTGAAGACTTACACTTACCAGTATCAGTGTGGCTGGAGAAAACTGGATCATATTTCATGGTCTCGTGTGTAACCACATACTTACCTCCCCTGTCTGAAGACTTACACTTGCCAGTATCAGCGTGGCTGGAGAAAACTGGATCATATTTCATGGTCTCGTGTGTAACCACATACTTACCTCCCCTGTCTGAAGACTTACACTTACCAGTATCAGTGTGGCTGGAGAAAACTGGATCATATTTCAAGGTCTCGTGTGTAACCACATACTTACCTCCCCAGTCATGTGACCTACAATACTTAGTATCCGTGTTGCTGGAAAAGACATCTTCTTAATACTGACTGATGTGTACCCTCAGACTTACCTCCCCTGTCATGTGCAGGATGTGATATCCAAGTATCTAACTGCCCTTGTCACAGCTGCCTTGTTTACTAATGCCTTCATGCCTGTACATACAAACACCCAGGGCTTCAGGTCCTGTGAGTCATTGTCCATCCTTCCATAAGTCCATTGTGGTGCCTGGATGAAAAGACTGTTTCCTTGGAGACCACTGAGTGATATTGTTAGTTTGTTCATGTTTTAATGTCACACTTAGTATTGTTATTCTATGTGACAACAGTCTGTAAGTAATTGTGTCTGTGCCAGATGATCCAGTGATTGACGTCATGAGCACCAGTCTTCACTATTGACAGGCTTCAACAAAATCAGCAAGCCTGACCACCTGATCCTGTTAGTCTTCTCTTACAACAATTCATACTGCAGTCTACACTGCAAGGTTGCGTCAGCTAACCTTTGAGCGACCTATGACCGACCAATGACCGTCCAATCAAACGCGAGATGGCCAAACGGATTTAACCAATCAGACAACGACTACTTGTTTGGGTTCGACGGGACTTACAAAACGTTTTTTGGATTTTCTCTTCCCTGGTCGCTGACACTGATCTATCAACAAACGAAAATCCGCATAAAACACAGATATTTGACCTGCAGTATATACGCTTATGGGTTTCTAATGACATGGTTACTATTTGCTTATATTTTTGCAAGATGACATCCTTGAGTATTGACAAAAACACTATTTTAAGCGACTGTTTACTCATTGCGTGGATCACTCGGAAGCAATCGTGCGGAAAATAGCATTCGGAATCATTCGAGTTTTTTAGGTAAAGGTTCAAACGGTAATGTTAACTTTCGTGATTTGGTAAGCAGTGTTGTGATTGGTCAGTCCAAAAGAGCTGACGTGACCTTCTACTAGGTTTTGTTAGACTCAGTATAGCAGTGTAACAAATAATACTGAGCCTAAGTTTACTTAGACTGAGTGAAACTGTCACTGCAGAGGAAGCTGCACGGGTTTGCTTTCATGTGCAATAATACGTCTTGTAGCATCATCCATTATCATGGGAGATGAATAGTGAAATGCTACTCTTGTTCAATGAAAATGTGAATGAGGATTGACATGTTTACGGGTGTACATGAACACAGCACCATCTGAAGTAAACATAAGTTCTACAGAAGGCTGTAGGAGAGAAATGTCATCTCATATTCTGAACTGTACAGTCACACCTCATAAGTAAAGTGATTTGTCAGTGGATGAATCATCTACCTCAGATACAGGGTGTTTGGTTGTGTGTAAATTGACTCTGTATGTTGTGTGAAGCGTGATGTTCTGATGAGAGGATGGTTGCATATGTCATTCCCTGTATTTTACCCACAATGCAAATGTGATAATGTGTTAACGTTCCCATATTTGTACATATGTATTTTAGCGAGTCTTGATGCTGATTGGCCGGTTGAAGCCATCATTCACCACAGTTCTTCGCTTTTGAGAAGTCATCAGTTGCCCTTGATCTCACAAATTCATTATATGACATCAACTGAACAAAAGACTCTCTTCAAATTTATCCATACAACTCTATAGTGTCCACATTCCATGCCTATTTCTTCATTTTCTTGCCTGAAAGGTCAGTGGGTAATGAAGAGAATAACCTCAGAGTTATAACCTCACTGACTAAATACTGTCCCTCTCCATTTATTCACCTCGGACAGATAATTCAATGTTTCCTTGAACTCTCTGGTCTACCTGTACCCTGTCCAGATGGACACTTCAACCAGTGAACCCATGACCCTCTCTCCAACTGTCTTTTGTGATGAAGAAATAAACTGCCTGTGATTCTGTGGTATTTGATTGGTTCACCAAGTTATTTTTTGTTCATGTTTCCAGAATTATTGTTGGGACAAACCTTACCGACTTACCGATAGTTTAGTGAAGTGAGAAATATGGATGTACATTATTAATTAGTGGAGTCATTTTCATAAACCATGTAAGCTAAACGTAAGAATGTTTAAAATTACTCTCAAGCACGGGTCAGATAACTCCTGGAGTACATGCAAAATATGGCTGAAATAAAAGATATATGAAACGAAACACGTCTGTAATTTTTCACTTCGCTAGTTTTATCTTTACCAGTACCATCCAATGGCCATTTCTGGTGTTCCCCGCCATGATATTGCTGGAATATTGCTAAAAGCAGCGAAATCTAAACTCACTCACTCACTCACCATCCGATGCCAAGTGTACTCTTAAGTGAACCCAGTACTATTTTAGGCTGTCTGTGCTATTGTGTACATCGGGTCAGGGCACAAGGAACCTTGGTGTTGGGGTGAAATTATCTGAGTTGACTCCCTTTGTTGCCAGGATCTGCTAGAGTGGTTATCCAGCGTTGATTGCGAACTAAGAACTAATATCGGTCAACTCCCCTCCAGGTGTAGTTAAAATAACATGCTCTGTCTAGTGGATAGTATGCTTAGGGGGCGGTGGGGTAGTCTAGTGGTTAAAGCGTTGGTTCGTCACGCTGAAGACCCGTGTTCGAATCCCCACATGGGTACAATGAGTGAAGCCCATTTCTGGTGTCCCCCGCCGTGATATTGCTGGAATATTGCTAAAAGCGGCGTAAAACCAAACTCAGTCAGTCAATCAGTATGCCTGGAGAGAGTGTATGTTGGTTTGGTTTGTTGTTTAACGCTGCACTCAGCAATATTTTAGCTCTATGGCGGCGGTCTTACAATCTACTGGTCAGACAATCCGTGATCAACAGCATGAGCATCTATCTACGTAACTGGGATACGATGACATGTGTCAACCAAGTCAGCGAGCCTGACCACCCTGTCCCGTTAGTCGCCTCTCACGACAAGCATGGGTTACTGAAGACCAATTCTAACCCAGTTGGAGAGTGTGTAGGGGGTTAATCTTCAGTGTCAAACCTACAGACTTTAAAAGCTGGTGTACATTTTCTTAATTGCCTGGTCCGTGGTATTATTGTAACAGAACAAGTCCGCCTGATGTGCCTGTGAGGGATGGTATCCCTGAAAAGCAGCATTTGCCCGAGTAAGGCTGGTACTCGCGCATGCGAAAATAGATATTTATTACCTGAAGGACATACGTAGCAATAGAAAGTGTGAATAAATATTCAAAACTCCTTACAAAACCATACCTGTTTCAGCTCATGATGATCACAGGAACAGTGAGTGAAACATGTCTTTCAGCAAACCATGGCACAAAGTCAACTGTTTGGGTACATAAACTTCAGTGTATGCACAGCAATATGTGATCACAATATTGCCCCCGTGACTCGTTCCAGTTTTACTCCCACCTGACCTGATGTAAAGTTCCGGGTGAGCTACACAGCTGCACAACCTTGCTTGTCAGCGAGGGCGAACAAAAAGTAGGAAACTGGGTCAAGAACAATCACATTTTATTCTTTCTCTGATATCGAATGTCAACACAAGACCTCTCTACATCCACTTAACATCAAACTACTTATTGCAGAGATTCAATAAATATCAGTGTGTACATAATTATGTTGAACGCTTAACCCATTACCGTAAACAATCGGTCAGATATCGGAAATGCCTTGGAATCAGTTGTCCTCTACAGACATGAAGCCTGACAGTACGGCGCATTGATGGTAACTGCTTATGCTGGGTACTGTCCCCCAAAGTCTTGCAGCTCATGCGTTCGGCAACATAGTACATAGAACTAAACTGTCGGCAAAAGCAAGTATACAAGGTGTATGATGGTGGCCAAACAATGAAACTAAACCAGAAATGGTTATTCAGCGGTGATGTATTTCCTTAAGTGTACCATATTTGTTTTTACCTTATTTTTGCAGTGTTTCAGTGACTGTCTTCAGTACTACGATTTTGATAACGGAACTCCTGTTAATATGATCTCATACAACATACATGGCCGATGCCGTTCAGCGCCACTGGAATGAAATTCTTTAACAACGCACTGTTAGTACATACTATCTCATATTAGTGTTGGGAATTGGTTGAAATGTCACAATTGATGATTGCTTCATTACCAACGAACAATCATCGAAAAAAATTGGTTAGCGTCATTTTTCAGATTTTCCTACCAAGGTTGTTATTGCAGATATGTATAACATGATGCAACTTGCTACTTTAAAGTGCTGAGTAATATATCATGAACATAAACTTTCTGGAGTCTTCAAGAAATATTCAGTCATGACTTTTCAGAAAGTGAAGTGAGTTTTCTAAGAATTTAACAAGTTTTCAGGCCCTGACCACTTCGAAAATATGTTCCATCGTCAAGTGTTTCAAACACTAAAACAGCAGTTCCAAAATCGTTTGTGTTCGATTATGAGAAAATGTGATCGATTGCTTGGTCGTTTGGTCACTTCGACCAATCTTCGATTATTTCCATTAATCGGAACACCACTATCTCATATGAGTTAATATTGTACATAAACGCATGGTGTTAAGTTCAAATTGGTAAAGAGGCTTCTGGGTATTCTTGGCTAAACTGGTTGGTAAGGATAATCACACATTGTTCCATTCATTATCACGACGGTAGGTATTTAGAGGTATGTAGGTATGGTTCCCGAATCCAGGAACAGCGTGTGGCCACGTGATTTAGCAAAATCACCAAACTGTATGTAGACACACATTGCACATACCATTGGTCCCGAAATCAGGAACTTAACGTGGACACATGTTGCCCATGTCATAGGTCACGAAATTAGGAATTGTATTGGACACTTGTTGCACATTTAACTCCAAACGTATGTGGACACAAGATACACGCTTAGGTCTCGAAACTAGGATCAGTATATGAACGCACGTTGCACTTAAAGGTATTAAGCTTGCACACGTTAGTCCCGAAGTCAAGAACGGTAAGTGGACTACAAGACACAGAATTACAAGAGTCCCGAAATCAAGGAAAGGATATGGGCAAATGTTCTGCGTCCTGAAACAGACCCTTAGCATGAAGGGATGTAGATTTCAGGTCTTTTGTCAGAGGCCACGAGAGTCTGCATGGATTCCGAGTGCTCCCGGTTGAGGCCTGGAGGAACCATCTGGAAGCAGGTGGATTGAAGTTGAAGCCGTCTCTGTCTCGACTCCACGTCCCGTAGCAACATGGACATCGACTTGCCGTCGACTGTCATGCCACTGCTGGACACGTCGATGTAACCCATCTGGGAGTTGCACGCTTCAGGTTCTGTGGAGAAGAAACTGTTCTGTCTGGTCTGTGGTCTTGTACTGGGAGTCTTCCGGTCAGGGACGCGGGGTGGGTCATCATCCATTGGATGGAGAATGGCAGTCACCCTCTGGAGGAGGGCTCTTGTCGTTCGGTCAGATAAAGGCGTTTTCTTTGTCATAAAGGTCTGGAATGTCTTCAGGATGAGTTCGTCGTATATTGGAGAAAGCATGTCGATTTTAGGAAGTTTGAGAGGGTTGGTCGCGCGTCTTGGCTTTGATGACGTTGTGTCAAGGACCATGTTGGGTTCTAGTTTACTTCTTGTTGGTTCTTTGAGTTGCTCTTGCTGCTTGGTCGCAGATCCTATAAAGTCTTCGGCACTCTGATCTACCCTTGGAAGCTGGATGTTGCAACCTTTGGCTCCAGAAACATTCTTTGAAAAATGGACTTTCTTAGAAGAACAACTATCGGGCGAATCTGATCTATTTGTATTACATTTGAGATCTGGAAGTTCAATGTCATAGGCTGAGAAGTGTGGTTTCCCATGGCACCCTTGAGACCTATTGAAGCCCTCCGAATCAACCCCAGATGCTTGAGATTTCTCATCATCGTCCAAGAGATTATCACCGTTAACAAACACCGTTTCTTGAGATCTAACATCTGATCTCTCAGATAATGAATTGAAAGGAGTAGTGGGTTGCCTCGAAGGCCAAGGACTGATTGACTGAATGGCGTTTGTCTTCATTTGCTCAACTTTAAGCCCTACCTGCGACCCTAGGGCTTTCACCTGCTTGACGTTAGCGTCGTGCTGACGTTTCTTCTCCCTCCGTCTTGTAAGAAACTGATGACGACTTTTCGCCGCATAAGCCTTACGCGATTCTCTCTGACACCTATCAGGATAGTTTTCAGGGAGGCAAGGCATTTTGTCCGCTTTGACGACAAAATAGACAACCGGCAGCTGGTACAACGTCTTACTCTTAGACCCAGTGAAGCTAACATGGTGATTGCTGCTTGTTGCTCGAGACTTTTGAAAATTGAAGCTGGCCTTTGACGATTCTAATCTTCCACGAGCGGATTTCAGTTTGGATTTGTATGTTTCGTCATCGAGGATAATGGATGGCTTTTCCGCTGAGGCGCCTTCAGAAGGCTGTGCGCGTCCTTGTCCACAAGTTGTAGGGATATCTGGTTGTCTGTTCGCTTCCATTCCACTTATCACAGGATTTGGTTCGGCTGTCTTGGAGGTGGCCATGCCATCTTTGCATTGTTCTAAACAAACCGTGTCCATATTGTATCCAGTAGAAATCCAGAACAGACCATAATATCTGCAAGTACACAAAATGGCGTATCTAAAGGGGCATTGTCATTGGCAAATCCAGGCAATAATATTTTTTTATATAGAAATGTAGCTTCTCTGTTTTCATAGTCAAAAGCTACGTAATAAAATGTCAATTTATTTACTTATTTTATCATATTTTATGCTGCATGAATTCGCTGAGTTTAAATTAATGTAGAATCACATACCTTAGCCTTGTGGTATATAGACTGCCGGGCAACAAGTTGACAAGAACATACAAGTGTTATCAATCGTTTCTAGGCTTAAACAGTCGCCGGAATAGTGCAAATCGAAGGTCCAAAACATGAATTGACTGATACCCATACGAAATACATCATTATCGAACATCCATTTCCTGTTAGGTTCAGTTTAAACCATGATCCAATATGAATGTAATCTTTGTTGTCACGACGGTTTAATATATTGTGTTACTTCTGAAAATTTGCCAAATGTGAAGCCCTACCTAGATTTCAGTATAACATCTTAAATATACCATATACGTGTTGAATAGACAGATTGATTATTATGATGAAAGCTTGCTCTAACAACAACATCGACCATGACCCATTTGTTTTTTATGTGTTTTTATAGCGCGTTGTTAGTTACTGTAACGATCTGGACAAAAGTGACAGTATATATGACACATTAGACAGGCGTTCGTATTTTTCACTGTCCTAGTTTTTTGTTCACCCATTAATTTAACCATGCTAGCAACCACGAAGATAGAATGTAAACACACACCCTGTCTTCTGGTGTTTTGTCGTGAGGCTTGTTTACGTGTTAAACAATCGCCTAGTGATGTTCGAGTCTCGCCAGACGTCCTTCGTGTCAAACGTCCATGTTTTAAGATTGATCATAAGATATCAGATATCACCTTCTATCAATCTCCGAGTCAGACGTATGTCCTGGATATCCACACGGTAGATACATGATATCCTTCCAGGAATCCCATGTCAGTATTTATGGATTATCTGCCCGGAGTGAAATTAATGGTGCAGTTAAGAAAACATACTGGTTTCTGTTACTGAAATTGAATCTCTCTGAATGTTTGTTTATTTACCTCGCTGATCACGTGGCTGTAGATATACTCCATGTGTTTATTGGAAATCGTGTGCTGACTAATATGTTTTCATGAGTTATGCTGACAATTTCGTGATATATGTTTAACTGTACGCTCAGTACCGGAGCGTGACTTACATATATTGATTTTCGTTTGAAAGTATTTTGTCAAATCCGATCTTCATTTACTGCAAATATATTCATGATGAAGATCGAGATGTGTTAACCAAATACACACACTCATTCTAAACTCATTTAAACTCTCCCATTGCTCAATACGCAAAGGTTCAATGCTCTTATACTGAGAATGAGTATAGCGTGCCCTGACTCGCAGGAAGGACCATTCCTTGAGAGAATTGGATCTCCGGTACAAATACCATTTAGGAATAAATATTTTGCAATCCAGTCCCTTGTTAACGTGTAAGCTACGACAAACAAGATTATTTTTGCATAATATTTGCTTGTATCAATAAAGTAAATTCATTTCGAAGTCAAATCAGTAAAAACTAAAAATGTAATTTATGTATTTGTATGTTGTTATTCAACATAATATATCGCATGTCACACAGATGCTGCCAAAAGGGTTGCATGGAAGGCTTGTGGCTTTTACTGGAATGTACTGATTCTGACACTAAAACACATTGTGAAGAGATCCGTGTATACAATACCTTAAAAAGAGATAATATATGACCTGTACATACCTAGCACCCTTCCAGCTGTTGTCTTGCCCCCATAGACACCTGTACGAGCAGCTGATACTCTGACTAGTGCTAGCCTGTCCTTGCAGTCACGAGAAACCTATGTCGATTACAGGTGAAGCGTTACCAGTCTCTTAATCCCGCTAAGCCAGCATTGTTTCACAGGAGCGCTAGCCCATGCTATGAGTATGTTACACCCTAAGATCTTCCACTAGATTTCACCTTTACAATAATCAAAGCGTTTACCTGCGTTCTGGAGCTACTCCCCACTTTGCCGTGTTCACATGAGCGACGTAACGTTTCCACCGACTTTGTTGCAAGTCTGCAAGCTTACACCTCTCAACGCTTAGCTACCGACTGTACGGGACAAGCCAATTAAAGGGTTAGCAGTAAAACCGTGTCCTAAAATCTCGTCTCTACTGAAATTCAAGGTCAACGGGAAATTTGAACTTTTCTCTTTGTAGGGAGGGTTTGAATGCGTCATAGAGTTTGTACATGTTCGTGATTTATTGAGAGTGAGTGTATTAATACGCATACAGATAAGGCGCATACACGATGATTTATGAAATACTGCTTTAAACTGAAAGCTATATACTTACTGTGATTGGTGTGGAAACGAAATATAATAGTTTCAAAGTGCTTGTCAAACCATATAGGTAATGTGCTTGTTATATCATATATGTAAGGTGCTTGTCAAACCATATATGTAATTTGATTGTCATATCATATATGTAGAGTGCTTGTCAAACTATATAGGTAATGTGCTTGTCATATCATATATGTAATGTGCGTGTCATACCATATATGTAATGTGCTTGTCATACCATATATGCAATGTGCTTGTCATATCATATATGTAAGAGTGCTTGTCAAACCATTTATGTAAGGTGCTTTTCATACGTTATATGTAATGTGCTCCCATACTATATATGTAATGTGCTTGTCATATCATATATGTAATGTGCTTGTCATACCATATATGTAATATGTTTGTCATACCATGTATGTAATGTGCGTGTCATACCATATATGTAATAGTGCTTGTCATACCATATATGTAATATGTTTGTCATACCATATATGCAATGTGCTTGTCATATCATATATGTAATGCGCTTAATCATACCATATATGCAATGTGCTTGTCATATCATATATGTAAGATGCTTGTCATATCATATATGTAATGGGCTTGTCATATCATATATGTAATCTGCTTGTCACACAATATATGTAATGTGCTTGTCATATCATATATGTAATGTGCTCCCCATACCATATATGTAATGTGCTTGTCATATCATATATGTAATGTGCTTGTCACACCATATATGTAATGTGCTTGTCATGTACCCTTACTTGTTTCTACGATATAGCAAAATATATACTAGCCACATAAAGAAAATGTGCATTGTCAAGATATTATCCCAGTTGATAAATTACGATAACAATGTCAAAGGTACATATAAACTTTAATGGAGGGATCATGAGACCATAACAAATCAGGAGAATTTCAATTGAAAAGTCAATCACAATGACATCACGAGTCCACAAGCGGGACAGGGGTCAAACGACCATGTCACAAGCTCAATAACAGGTATGTCCACCATCGGCATTGAGAACAGCAGTGCATCGACGACGCATAGAGCCTATCAAACGTGCAAGGAAGGCTTGTGGGATGTCACGCCAGATTCTCTCAAGTTCTGTTGCAAAGGTCAAGGATGTTATCTGGCGGATGAGGAAGACGGCGTAGACGTCGATCCATCTCGTCCCAAACATGCTCTATCGGGGAGAGATCCGGTGAATTTGCAGGCCAAGACAGTAAGTCAACGTTGTGGTGTTGCAAAGAAATCCATAGCAACCCTTGCCGTATGAGGGCGGGCATTGTCCTGTTGGAATGTTAACCCAGGGCCATGACGTTGTAGAAAGGAATTGCCACAGGTCGAAGAATTTGATCCCTGTAGCCCACAGCAGTTAAGTTGCCCTGAACAATCACCAAAGGAGTTCTTTGGCGTGCTGTTATTCCACCCCAAATCATCACGGAACCACCACCAAAGCGATTCCTCTCCAAGACACGGGCCTGTGCATAACGTTCTCTCGCGCGTCTATAGGCACGTTGACGTCCATCACTATGGGAAATGTTAAACCTGGACTCATCTGTAAAAACAACATTTCTCCACCAAAACAAAGGGTCTGCGGACATGATTTCGGCACGACATTCGGCGAGGCTTGTCGATGACGTTGTGTCAGGATAGGCCGTATGGCGGGACGTCGTGGTCTGATCCCGTGATGACGTAAACGTTGTCGAACTATGTTGGGATGGATACGGCGAAGTCCTGGGATGGTTCGGCAGTCATCACTACAGTCTGAAACCTGTGGCGAAGATGGGTCACCCTTATCCATCTGTCCTGTCTTGGCGTTGTTACACGTGGACGTCAGAACGTGGCCGATCGATGACGTCATTTGTCTTCTGGTAGCGTCTCACCAGTGCAGAAATGGTGTTCCAGTGGCGGTGGAAATGTGCAGCCACTTGTCGTTGAGACATTCCCCACGGACCATCCCAATGGCCTAATGACGTTGTGCAGACGCGAGCCTTGGCATGCTATGCGTTTCAATAGCCGTTTATTATAGAGAATACTACACGAGGTCTCATTACATACGAATTATACGAAACGAGTGTCCTTCCTGTGGTATCTGACCGAGGCGAAGCGAGGTCAGATATATAGGAAGATCACGAAGTTCGTATAATAATATAATAATGAGACGAGAGTGTATTATTTATTACCCACGTCTTACATGCATTTAAATTGACAAAAAGCGTATTTTTGTTATGTTTTGGTTTCAAACCGAAACCGGTTTCATAAAGAGGTTGAGGAAGAGTTTTGTACTGTAGTACAATATTTGCATGACGTCACACTAATGACGTCACTGCCATGGTAACCGACGTCACGATGCATGTCAGTTGTCATCGCCTCGTACAGCCTCCTACAGTAAACTACTCCGTTGCACCTCGTTTCTTGGTTTCCAGTTGCTTCATTCGGCTAACATCACTGGTGGAAACATTGCGTTTATGTTTTTCGACAGATATAATGTCTCAGTTCGACTCACAATTAAACAGCGACACGGCAACGTTCGCAATGTTTACATTCCCACAATGCATTTAAGTTGTAGAATGAATGAATTCACGTGTTTGTTATGAATGAAAAAATAGTTACGTCAGA